ATACAGCTAAATTAAATCGTTATATATTGCCTATCATTCATTAGTTTATTCCTCAAATTGTTGTTCATATGTAAACACAACACTTTAGAAAACGTTTGTCTATTATAACGAATCTAAAATCTACTCACAATAGTAATAAATAATAATAGGGTCCTGATGGGGATTAGAAAGAAAGTATGATAATAAAAATCTCAGTAGTTTCTACTTATAATGTGATAAAGCCAATAAAAATCCATGTAATGATTGATATATAAAGTTTAATTAAAATGTTACCATTAAGATTTTTCATTAAACTTGAGGTCTTAAGTTCAATTAATATTTAATCTGTGATTTTTTAGAATCCTAATTTTATGTAAATATCATGTTAAGCCAAACAATATGATAAAGTTAGAGTTATTGAAAAATAATCAATCGGTTCATGATCTCAATCGAAAATTTAATTATCTCCACAACCTCATACTGATTATAACAAAAATGCTTAATTTTTATGTAATTTAAACGAGTATTACTTGTGAGAATGAACTTGAAAATTGGTAAAGTTCAATGTGTCATCATACCATATGTATTTTTCACGGAACAATTTTATGTTATTTAGTAAGGATAGTAACATTGACCGAGTGACCTGCAAATTATGTATATTTCAAACATTCATATTTTTATTATGGGGTTATCGAGATTGTTAAGTTTTTGATTGAAATCGTGAGTCAATAAATGTTAGACTATCAATGAAAACATGAAACCACTGGATGGTCGTCTCGTCCTAGTATAGACTACACTGAGATAAGATGGTGGTTGTAGGTAATCGACAGGAAACCCTGGACCCGGGTTTCGTGCGACTTGGCACTCGTCAGCAAGATGTGCCCGTAATCATGAGGGATTCGATCCCGTATCACTCAGCTTCACAGTCGGAGACGTTATCACCGGGCTATCCGGGTTCAGGATTTCTTGTTGACTACCTCCAACTATCATCTCTCAACATAGTGTACTCAATGTTAAGTCACCTAGACTAGTGGCCAAATTTCAACTTGGTCAGTAGCACTCGATCTGCAGGACTTGACACACATGACATTGATCACCACCCAGTGATCAATCAATTGTGATTATAGACTACATTTTAATATTGCATGACTAAAAATATTCAAGTAAATATTTTTAATAAATAAAAATTATGGTTTTTAATTGTATGTTCTTCCACAATACTTTTTTAATATTACACGTGATTAAAAGAATGAAAATGAAAACTTTATTCTGGTCAATTTAGAAAATAATAGAATCTTTACATGAAATACAAATATTTTATAGAGTTTTACTTACATACTTATTAATTTACGCCTGTTACTCCCAATGGAGCGTAGACCGCCAACCAGCATATTCCAACCCACTCTGTCCTGGGCCTTCTTTTCTAGTTCAATCCAATTCTTGTTCACTTTCCTCATGTCTATCTCAATTTCTCGGCGTAACGTGTTCTTTGGTCTTCCTCTCTTCCTTTGACCTTGAGGATTCCAAATTAGGGCTTGCCTTGTGACGCAGTTCGGTGCTTTCCTCATTGTGTGTCCTATCCACTTCTAACGATTTTTCCTGATTTCTTCCTCCGCTGAGATCTGGTTTGTTCTCTCCCACAGTAGGTTGTTGCTGATAGTATCTGGCCAACGGATCCGAAGTATTTTGTGTAGACGGCTATTAATAAACTAATTAGATTTTTAGCACTTCTTATCATGTATAATAATTCATGCCGTTGTCTTTGAAATTGTTTATTATTGGACTCATACTTGAAATAATATTGACTTATTACAACTATCTGCAATTATAAGCAAACAAATAAATGTGCAGTGAGTAATTAAATTTAGGATTGAACATTAGTATCCTTGTTTTCTCTCTAAAAGAATCAATACTCATATGTATTATAAAAAACTATATAGACAATATGACAATGTCTCTATGAGATAATTATACGGTCCAATCCTACCTGGTTTCTTTCTGGAAAAGTTGGAAAATGATCCTCTAAAAGAAATGATAAGCGAACTAGGATTTTATTATCTTTATATGGATGACACTTTTATAGTAACAATAATTAATAGCAAAGCTTACAGTCTACTAGAAACATATGCTAGAGTCCACAAGGCAAACACTTTCACAATCTAAGAAGAAAAGTTCGACACCATCTTCTTGCTAAACGTTCTATTGACGAGAACTGACAGGTCAATGAGAAGTGATTGCCACAAACCAACTGTACAAACCTAATCTTTGCACTTTTCTAGCTTTATCTCGTTACAATATAAGAGAAACTTAGTAAAATGTCTGGCCTACACAGCCAAACTTATCTGCGATGAGGATTGTTTCTAAGATGAACTGAAACTTTCTTATCATTTATTACGTAGCGCAGAAACCCATAAAAGTTCCTAATGAAACATATGTCTGCAAATAAACCTAAAGTATAATCATCGATGGGAATAAAAACAGAAATCTTTATTAAAAAACTTTTAATTTAATATATTCAGCGAAATAGTAACTTAATGTATACAAAAAGCCTTAGAATGTATATTCAATGTGAGAAGAGTATATCCTGTTTTCTTCAATTAGCCAATAGTGAGTCCACGAATTAAGGACAAATTGCCTAGTACTTTTGCCTCTATGTGGATTTAACATTTCAACTGCTCTTAAGGATTTAGTGATATTGGCCGCATAACTGGACAAATGCATCCTCGAAATTCTGAACCTCAACCTTTATGGTTGACCAAACAAAGTAATAAGAATCGCTAACTAGGTGCATCTAGTTGATAATGATCATCACAAAAATAGTTATTAATAAAATCCCACAGAATTTGCCCTATAGTTCTAGAACATGACTTTTACATAGATCAAAAATCATAGGAATATATATAAAAAAATCTAACCATTTTGTGAAATATCAATCAGTATAATAATAATAATGTAAACTTTTGAGATACCTTTTTAATTTATATAAAACATCTATCTACTCTTTTCGATACTTTAATTTAAGTAAAATATATTCCGTGTGAATTAGTCAATTCTATCTTAATCAAAATAGTTATATAATACCACTAATGTAGTTTTAATCTAGTTTAGTTATAATCAACAACGAAGGAATTGATGATTAGGTTTTACTTTCTTAAAAAATTGTGGATGATTCAAGTCACTATGTCTATTATTGAGAATACAAAGCAATTTACATGAAGCGCAAATAATGCTCCGTGATTTTCAATAAGACCTTGAGTTGAATATTGATTATTAGGTGACTTGAGTTACCGATAGAAACCATTAAATATATAAAGATAAATTATTTCACATGCAACCTAAATATATATATTGATTTGTTTATCATAAGTACTCCCTTACCAGATTTAACGTTCTGTGATGAAAAGTGATAACTAAAAATAATATATATATATATATATATATCTCCATATATATATATATATATATATATATATATATATATATATATATATATATATGCAGACAAGTGGGAATGTTACCTGATAGAAACTATGCAACTAACCATCAATACCACCATTTTCAAACTAACACCTATCATTTTTTTCAAAATTATATTATCTTCAACTATAGACATGGTCTGACATCTATCGATTCATGATTTCAATCAAAAACTATACAATTTTCATCCAGCTAATAAATATAAATCTACCGCTGCCGTAATTTGCATTCTGACAATGTCATTTATTCACTAGTGAATGAATTTCGATTATATCAAAATGTTGTTGGTCAATGATAGATTTCACTTGGTTTGCTTTTAGTTCATTTAGGCCGTCTAATTGTTTTTTTTAAATTCTTATTAATGCTTTCTGATCCTATTGACTTCGGTATTTCCACTGTTAATAAAAGTGAACAATGACATACGACGATGATCGATTCAATGGTTGCTTTGGTAGGTATTTTCGTATCAAACGTAATGGATAGATTAAGTTGACGTAAATGTTTATTTAGTCGTTCAGCTTAATAAAAAAATTCATTTTCATTATTTCTATTAGATATTGCAACTGAAATATTTAAAATAAGGAAAACTGGGATAATATTGTTATTTGCCTACTAACATACAAAGCGACATTGTAAATGGCAATTAGCTCATACTTAAGACAAAACTGATATAATAGATCTTACTTTATTGTCGAAGATAATAAGAAGTCCACTTCAGAAGAAGTCAGATTTGTAAGAGTAGTAAATATTATGAGACTGATTGTAGGAGTCGTATCTTATAATATATAGATGTAACATGAAAGATGGGTTTGATAACGGGACTTTATTTTACATTTAGTAAACAGAAAAATATTTTGGAAAGTGAAATAGATATCACAAGTTAGCAATATTACATAAGTATTCATCTGAGGAAAGCACGAGTGTGCTACAAATCTACGAATGAATTTAATTTTTATTATCGGACACAATTTGTCTTTCATATCATCCACAAGAAAAATACATTCAAAGTTTCTACTTAAACTCTATGGTAAGTTCTTGCTTGTTTATGTGCTATGCAATTAAAAAATTTCTTTTTCGGTCAAATGTAATTTCATCTCACTTTACTTGGTCATTTATATTTACAACAGAAATCAGTACTGACTAGATCCTGTGTATAAAAGACATAAATTGAATATTCTGATTGCTTCGCCTTTCAGTCTTCTTTATCAATTCAGTACCCGCAGATTACTCTTTTTGTTTTTAAAACATATTATCTACCATCTGATTGCATCGCTTTAGTGCTCTGTATGGTGATTCGCAAAGTTTTAAGATTATTTCTGCCTCCAGAAACATTCGAAACTAAGGGAAAATTAGTGGATCCGTTCTTCCTGTAGAAGCGTGACCACAATTCAACACGAGATCGAAACTAATCTTTTAAGATATTATCCGAAATCAATGCTTACCTTTTCAATTTCAATCAATTTACGATAAAATTAGACGGCCACTTAATAACACAGTCATGGTTCATCATCGTAAGTTCTAGTGAGAACATTAAGGAACACAACTGAAAGCATTAAATTCGTGTTTATTCAACATTATGTTGTTCAACACTATTATTACAGACCTACTAAAAATTCATTAAGATACTGATGAAACAAACAACAGTTTAACCCCGATTATTCAATAGCACATTGAAACACAACTACATCTACGGTCTTCTCGGTGATATTGAGACATCACAGTGACTACTTAATAATTGTAAAAGTCAAACACTGTAATAAGGACATGAGGCTTCAACTACAAACAAATTATGATTTTTTAATATTGGCTTTGAAACAAAAACCACCGTAACAAAAAAAGAAATGAAGCCAAGATAAATGAGAAACATGTTTGTAAAAGTAAATAATTGAATAAATGAATGATTCATCAACTATATTATGGTCAACAATTGCATCGGATAAACAGAACAAATAAAATAACATGTGACACTAACACTCGCAAACAGATAAACATTTCGAATGCAACCACTTCAGGTATATATCCGAAATTGCTGTTTGTGTGCATCTATATTTGTAGAATGTCACATACACAAAGATATGTATCGTATATTAAAAAATATATGAAAAGAATGAATACCTGAATATTGTTTTTCTTTAAAACAAAACAAAACATCACCGCATACAAAATATGATGTTTTCTCCCCAAAATATATAGATAAATAGTATGATTAAAAAGAAACAATTAATAGAAACGAAAACTGTACATGTTGAGAGTACTATTGTTAATATTATATTACAATTATTAGTGATTATAGTAAATAGTGAAAACATCACAGAACTTCTGTAGAGAGTTAGGTTAGGGAGAGGAAGTATGTGACAGAGATGTATAAATGAAACAATCCTATTGTTGGTATCAATTAAATCGTATAATTAATTAATCGATCAAAAGGAAACTGATTTGTAATTAACTGGTTACAACTGTACAACATAATACTATTATTATTTGTTTTTATTTGTTCTTATTTCTCTTTTTTTCAAATTATTTGTTTTCTTGCTTTGTACACAATAAATCGCATATAGCTGTTACATGCTGAGAAATTATATCGTAATCAATTAAACCAAGTTGAATGATTGACATACGACTTCTAGCGCTTGATTTACGTCCTGAACGATTTGTACTGATACGTTTTAAAGTGATTTGCATATCATTCAACTTTTTCACTGTATTCATAATGGATAAATCCTATAAAAAATAATAAAAGAAAATAGATATAAAATAAAGTATAAAACGTTAAATTTGGTACCTTGTGACGTCATAGGAATTCTATTGAAAATATTTTTAAAAAAACATAAACTTGGATATTTCCTAAAAGTTTGATACTTTTTTTCTGTCAACACGTCATGAATGAAACAACAGTTAATTGATGTAGGTTAAATAAACGTCTTGAAACTATGATCGTTTTATTCATTTACAAAACAAGTTATTTATTAAAATTAAGTCTGCAAATTAGAGATTTTCATTGAACTAATGACTGTGAAAAAGAAATATGTAGTTTCATAACACGTGATTTTTCAACATGAAACAAAGTTATGGTAGACGGTAGTTTATTGAACTATCTGGCTTGTAAATTCGAACTTTATTTTATGAACTACCGATAAGCTTGTAGCACAAATAATGTAGCGAATAATTACGTGTGTTTAATAAACGAGTTAAAGCAATCAGTTACAACAAAACATTAGTAAAATGATGTAAATAGTTTTTAAGTAATAAGACATCAAATTTGTAAAGTTTCTTCTACACAACGATATATATAAGTTATATAACAAAATAAAGGCCGAAATAGCTCTTCGTAACATAACTAGCAATAAGAGTTTTAAAAAAATTTGCTGTTAAAAGCAAAGGGACTTCATGTTATTCTTGAATATACGAAAATATCAAGTATTAAGTGGCTGAGTGTTATTTATGGATAGTTAAGAATCCAGTATACATCTAGACTTTCATCAATAGTCTTGAAAACGTGGGTGCTTTCTAAGGTAGATTCGAACCCATATCACTCAGGGATATGAATAGTTTCAGCAGTGATTAACATTTGACAAGATTGAGTAACAAAAATTACAATCCGTATAATTATTTTAACATGAAATCAATGTTTTAGGCTTTGTGTTAAGTCCTTAGTCACAGTGAAACATTATATAGTGGATTGTTATGTTATTTTTTGTAGTTTAGTGTCTAAATGTCAAGGTTAACCAGTGTATGTTGAATAATATCTGAGGCCAAATATTGAAAAACTAGTTATTATCTTATCGTTAATTAATTCAAGAATTGTTTCTAAAGTGGAAGATATCTTTTATTTTATCGTAGTAAGAGCTATGGTTGTATTAAAAAAAGAGTTGTGATATCATGATGAACATAAGTAGTAATAATGAAAAGAACTTACATTACATATGCGATGATTTGAAATACAAAGAGCTCGTAATGCAGCTAATGCCGCTTCTTGCACTCTTCGATCACCATCCAGACAACCAGTCTCTAGAAGCCTGTAAGAAATAGTTTATCAGATAAAAATTGTCAAATGTTGAATAAACACAAAAACAATTTATTATTATTGGTTTAACATCATTATTAATCTCTCAAATACATGATTCATTTACTTTGCACTCATCCCACTTTATTATTTCTTACTAATTCCATATAAATATTTTACAGATTATCCTCATCCACTAAACATTTCATAGAATTTGCAATTGCACTATTATTTCTCTCATTCTATCGGACCTATATCTATCCTTATTATCAATCTGACGATTTCATTCAACCTGCAAACTTATTCAAGTTGACATTTCATATTAGTTATCCCAACATCAACCATTTTATTGTATTTTGTAATCTTAAATTCACATGCTATAACTTTAAATGATGTACTTTGCTCTAAACAGAAATCGAACTAAACTATTTAAAACAAATACATCTTACTATTTCAGATAATAATGAAAACATTTTAATTTTATAGGTATCATTACCAAGGTATGATTTGATGATTCCAAATAAACTGATCATTAGGTAGATTGTTGTTAATCAAAATAATATATGTGTAATATCATAATGATCAAGAAAATTAAGGTTTTAGATTGTCTGATGTTTTGTGTCTTAATGTGAGCCGATTCTTCAGAATTCTATTCTCTGAAAACGTCTTACATTAAGTCATCAAACATCAGAAAATTTAAAAGTAGAATTTTTTTTCTACTCATTGTGACATTACAAACATATTATTTTTAAGAATTTTAATCTTATGTTGTAAGGTGAATGCGACTTCAGTAGGTATATGTGTTTATAAGTTTCAAATGAAAACAAGCATTTTTAGTAACTGAGTTAAGTAGAAAATACTTGACAATAATATAATTTTAAAACATTTCTAAATAACCCAGTTGGATAAACAGTAGGAGGCTAGATAAACAGAGTAATCTCATGATGTTTAGTAAGATAAAATGTAAAATGAAAAGAAAAACTATGAAATGTAACATTGCATGACAATCCAATATTTTATGACAGATCTTAAATGGAAGAACGTTGACTAATATATCAGGTCAATTTAAGTAAAGTATTCCAAAAGTCTACGTCGCTACATTTCTATATAGCAAACAATGAAAGATAAGAAATCAGGATGGAAAGAATCAGATAGATATATTAGTGAACATGGAACAATTAGGTGTAGGAAAACAAACAAAGTTATTTGAACGATTTAATTAATACTGAAATGATATTTTTAGATGCAGTCAATACTCTCTAAACGCGAAATGTTTATCTATGGTCGATCTACTTCAATATCTAATTTATGCATGACTGAGAGCATTGTTTACTGAACGTATCCTGTAAGTCTCATTAAACTTGATGGATTGATATTTAACGATCTCTGGGAATGAAATCAAATACGTTTCGTCATTCTCAGATGTTTATCGATGTGTTCGGAAGAAATCATGATTAGTACAGCCCAATCATAATGCCCACATGGGGCGTTAACTGATTGTAGAATCGAAACGTAGACTCGAAACATTAGATCATAACTCAACTGGCAAAAAATATTGACCTAATCATAGGACCGGTAATACTAGGGCCTCAATACTGTATCGGTTTATATGAAAGCACACTATTTTAAATCTAAGATAGAAAAGTTGTTCAGTGTTGCAAGGTTATCTATGGTCCTCCAATTGATGTCAGTCCGTGATGACAACTATTTCTATTATCAATATTAAATGTTATAAGGATAAATGGCATTTATGTTTTTTTAAAAATTAAATTAAATGTGAGTCGAATTCTTTTTCTTAATTTTTTTTAACTTCAAAGAACAACAGGCATGTACTTATGCCGTACAGTTAATCAAGGACGTCAATGTCTAAACTCGAAAGAAACAACGATAGCATTGAATAGACAAACTTCACATAAGGTGATAGTTCAGTACTACAATTAACATGAAACTATGAATAACCTTCTAGAGGAACTATGTACATTAAAAAAATATCATTTCAAGACAAATCAGATTAATTTTGTTTTTCATCGTCATACCATTTATTAGTTTTGTTCATCTACTCCATGTGAGTATATGTGAACTGATCATACAGTACACTTTCAGTTCTATTGTAAGACATATTAGTTTACATGTGTACAGAAAAAAATATATATCGGTAGATTGTTTATGTTTCTTATTTGTTTATTGTTTTTTCTTGTTAAAAAGTTACTAATATCGATCAATTGAAAAATAAATTGAATAATTCATTTAATTTTCTTTATTTAAACATAAATGTTTTGTCTAAATGAATTTTAATTATATAATCAACTACAAATAATTAATGTTTAACTAGAATTAATAATAAAAATAAGAAAGGACATTATAAATTATATTAATTTCATTGAATAATTTGAGATAAAGTAACAAAATAAACAAAAGCTGAATGATAATTTTATACTTTGAATTTATGTAAATTGTTTTATATTTTTCTTATTTTATTCACTTGAATGTAACGTCATTTATTTCCAGATAGATTTCAATATCGGTTAATATTGAGTAAATATATACGAGAAATCATCAGTATAAAGTTGTAGAGATTATCGAGTTTTGATTGAGATTATGAATCGATCAATGTTAGATCAACATTGAAAATCTTGAGACACTATTATATACTGAGAAAAGGAAGATGCCTGAGAAACTTCATGTATTGTTTGAAGTTACACATTAAAATCATTGGATGCTAGCTTAAAGGTTTCGAGGTTGAGCGATTGCGTGTGGAATCGAAGATGATGAATTTGAATCCTGCATGCGGGATCGTCGATGTGTACCGCTGAGGAATACCATTCTAGAACGAAACAGCCTTACAGTGCTTCCAGGTTTTTAGTAGTGGTCTAACAATGATCGATTCATGATCTCAATAAAAATACGAGAAACATAGTGGACATTCAAAAATTAATACACCTAAGTGACTAGCTCTGAAATCAATTTTAACGAAAAACAGTGCCAAGTAAAGTAGCCCGACAAACGATATATTATCTCCAAAAAAATGATTGATAATCAATAAATTCTTATTCACAGGTCATACAAAAATAGAGTTTACACCGGTAGGCTTTGAAGAAGTGTTTCACAATGATTGACAACAGTCGTATGACACTGTTTCTTTTACAACTATTATAAAAAAGTCACTGTGATGATCCGTAATGTCCACCAATGATTTTGATAAGTTCAAATATTCATAATGCTGGATTAAGTTTCTTCGAATTTAGAAACCGTGTCCTATTCATTTGAAATCTACGTTTATATATATATATATATATATATATATATATATATATATATACGCATGTATAAAGGAAGCTAAGATTTGACTTTGAAAAAGATCGTTTCCACAACGGAATCTGTGAACTTACGCGTGAAGAACTTTATGTTTACATACTGAATCGTACAATTGATCTATGTGATAACACATATTCCCAAGACATGCTAAATAGAGAATAAATAAAATGTTTATTTATAAACAGATCGATATTGTACACTATAAAAATCAGCGTTTGTTAAGAATAGGAAAAAAAGCAAATACAATAGAAAATCTAATGATTTGGTGTGCACTGGAATTTTAGTTTAACGCTTAAGAAATGTAAACTGTTTCTTACTATGTGAATAGGCTCATTCATAACTTACTAAATGATCAATATGTAATTTTTTTATTGTTACAGTACAATTACTAGAAGAGAAATTTTGACTACCACTCTATTTCTTTTTGAAGAATATACACTTTATGATTTTATTGTTAAATACTATTCATTGAAAATTACGTTTTACTCTCTCTGATATGTAATGATATTTTGAATTAAGATAAATAAATAAGAAAGATGTATTCCGTTTACTAATAAATTAATAAGCAATCAAAATGCAGAGTAGAAAAATTGTATATTTTATTCTACTCATAAGATATATGTGAATATGAACATGTAACACATTTTATTATAAAAGACTAATATTTGAATGAAGAATATAATACTGTATTAACAAACAAACTACAAATATTACAGGGTACCCAATTTTAATCATGTAACTAAAGAATTATTTTAAAAATAGTCAATAATTTTAACTTTTAAAAAAAATCTTACTAGCAGCATTTGTTCGAACACGAGATGAACTATCTTCAGTTAATAGTGAAACAATTCTTGGCAAAGCAGACACAATATTCATACATAATTCATTAGATAAAAATAATACATTACCAATAATTAATAATGCATATTGACGAATCACTGAACAATTATGTTGTAAATGTTTAATACATAAATTCAATGGTTTATCAAAGTACCATGTTAAATATTTCACGTCTAAAATCGAACGTGTTCTTGATGATGATATTGATGAGGATGATGTTGTTGATAAATATTTACGTTTTAATATTGGACTATTAGTTGAATCAAATTGTAAACGACAAATTTGATGACATTGTAATTCATTTGTAAAATGTGGTAGAATTTCACACATATTTGATTCACTATACATACACAGCATTAAATTATTAAGTAAACTTAAACCGTGTACAACTAATATAACATGAGAATCTTCAATGAAGTTGATTAAGTTCTGTGGAGTTTGTACAGCTAGAAAAAACATGCAGAAAAACAATTTAAAAATACGAAAAGAATACGATAGGTTAGAATAATTATTGCGTCCCTTTTACAGAGGTCGTAACAAGTGAATGATACACTGATTATGTGTTTGCTTTATATTTACCGGTAGGTAGGTAATAACATCGAATAAACCAAAAAGAACTATGATATAACTAACACATATGTCCACAGTGTAGCAGGTTAAACCGTGTAAGAAACAGTTATTTATCGAAGAATTATGTTATAATGTTATGTTCAGAGTATAAATTAAGGTACATACTGAATACATTAACTCGACCGTGACATTAATCTCACTGACCCCAATTTTGGAGTTTGCTTATTGTAGTTTGATAAATGACAACTTGATCAACTTCCTTCATCTAACAGTGCCTAATCTTTTTCCAATCTATTAAAAAACTAATGTTGCGAATCTATAACACGTACATAAATTATTTTATCGATGATGTTAATCGATGGGTACAACGTTAACTAGTGAGAGTACATCATATTTCAAAATCAAATCTTCAGACTAAATCGATCATTCATTATTTCAGTGAATGCTTTTCTACCGTGTTTAATTTTTTAATTAGAATATACATGATATAGTAAGGCAACATGGTCAAATTGATTTCTTTCAATACGAGAATTGACTTTTAGACAATTAGAAAGTTGGGACCCCCCAGTAGAAATGAAAATGATTTCAAGAAGATCTGTTTATAAATGTTTATAATTGTGAAATGCTAATCCAATAGTTTAAGATACTTTTTTGCACCTGATGGTATCATGTACCATACAACATTCGTGAAAAAAATATTTGCGTAAATTTGTATCAATTTTCTCAGCAGATATATAAAATGATTTGTCAACACTACAACTATTTTTGGTACAAGCGGGTTTGTGTAGATTGTAAAATCTTTAACTGATCTTAGCCAAACACACCTAAAAGCCGCTAAACACTGGATAGCAGCTTCATTCAATGTACAACAATACTAGATGTGAAATAGTTATCCATCACACTAAAAGGTCGCATGATATGACGAATCCATTTAAATTGAATACGAACACCAATGGAAGCCGGATCAGCGATCTAGATGTTAAGCATTTAAGCAGGAAACCGAGAGTATTGGATTTGGTCCTCGGTGTGGTCATGGATACACACTGCCGAGGGGCCCCATACACAAACGAAAAAGCAATCAAATACTTCCTGGTTATGGCTAATACCTGATTCATCTAATAATACTTTACGCTAAAACGATTTTGGAATAACTAGAAATTGCAAAATATACACTGACTTACAGTGGAAAATTATATTTGTTTGACACAACACAGATTCATCCAATGAATTCTAAGTTTCCAAATGGACTGGTTTATAAAATATTTTACGCTACTTATATACGCATACATAACCCCTTTTCCCAAAAATAACAGTTTGAAAACATTATTGTTACGCGATCCAAGACCTACAGTTTTAATATGTAACTTAATCAATTCACGAAATTGTGCGACTATCATCCAGTTTCTTTGGTGCGTAAGTGCTTCACACTGGACACAGCTCAACTCTGTTGGTCACGACTTCTCCTTGGAACTCCATACTGGAGCGAAACAGCCGTCTAGTGCTTCAGGGTTTTTAATGGTGGTCTAACATTGATCAGTTTACGATCCCAATTAGAACCGAACAATCTCCATAACTTTATACTGTTAATTATGATCAATACTTAATATGAAAATTATAATTATTATTACCAGGTTGATCAACAGGTGTTAATAGTGACCAAACTAAATTTCCAGCAGTACGTTCATCTTCTACAATTTTCATTTGATCCAGTTTAATTGAATGATTACCACTTTTCCTATCAGACAACTCTAATATACGAAATGCTAGAAATTGTGATAATAAAGCACAAGCATTCCATTTAATTTCTTTAATAGGCGATTTGAAACACCATTGAATCAATTCGTGTGTCTATAATATTTGAAATATAACGAAATAATAATAATAATAATAACAGAAATGTATAAGTATTATTTAAACTCAAAAGAGTTATCCTGCTATATTATAACGTTCGAATATACGACATTGAATATAAGATATCAATAGACCCCATATATTTATTTTTTTAATGGATAGAGATTATGGATATACTAGAAAAACAAATTCAGACAAAAACATAAGAAAAACTTTCGTATCAGACGATTCAGATTGATAATACAGATACATAACACTTTTACATTACAAGCAATAAACACGCTAATAATATAAATCAAGAAACGCGAAAAGATTATCAAGCTATTGAAGCATAGTTTTGTGTAGTTTTATATTCATCAGCAAGGTCTACATAAAATTTAAGATAGACTTCGAGTATTTCAGGAAAGAGAATAAGACTATACATTCTTCCTTTATGTTTTCATAATATTATCTCTGTTGTCACGTGTTCTAACTAGCATTATTGGTCAATTTTACCAATTTAATCATATCTAGTATGAGTGTACTTTCAGAGTTTGATCTCATTCTGAGTGTTCTTGATTTAGAATCTATTGACTAAATTCCATATTATGTTTTAAATGACATTTTGAAATAATACCTTTCTCAAATATTGAATAGACGATGTGAAATGAAATTCATCAACATTAGATATAGTATTTCACAGAACTGAATTGTATCAGAATATAGAAGAACTTTCCTTGATTAATAATCTATTGGCTTAGAGTCTAAAATATTGTCACGTGTAAAATGAATGGTAGGTATCCAGAACTGATGATACTAGTCTGTAATTTTAAAGAATTTATTTATACATATAGCTGATATGAACTAGCTATTCTAGAATGTGATCTCATGAGCTCTAACATTTTTATTCTATTAACAGGTGACTGACAATATTTAATGATTCGTGATAATATCATTTCGTGATCACTAATTAACATACTAAGGTTATCACTTAACAACATAATGTTCAAGTTAAAAAAAAGTACTGTTTAAAAGTTCTTGAATAATTTCTTAAAGTATTCAGAAAATATAAAATGAATAGTTGAAGTATAATTAAGTAAAATTTCATTTTCCAGTCATTTCTAATCATCAAAATAAGAACCATAATAACGATGTGATCTAAGCTGTACATAACTGTTTACCATATTACAAATAACAAAAACATATACCATTTTAATTACAATTAGATATAGTTAAATGTCAACTTTTTTTTCACCGATATATGAAAAAGAACCCCAGAGTTAATATGGAAGTATATCATGAAAATGTAATAGATGGTAATATTGTAAAAGTTAATTATTAACAATTATTAACTTATTTGTAGAATATAAAAAATGTTTAACAAAATTCACATTACCCTATGTCTGTATTTACACTATGTAATTTTGTACGATATACTCGGATATCAAGATTTTAATATTATTTGATGTAGTTATATATGTATGAATAAAGAATCTTTTGAAATTGCATACTAATATCATCAGTTCTGGATACCTACCATTCATTTTACACGTGACAATATTTTAGACTCTAAGCCAATAGATTATTAATCAAGGAAAGTTCTTCTATATTCTGATACAATTCAGTTCTGTGAAATACTATATCTAATGTTGATGAATTTCATTTCACATCGTCTATTCAATATTTGAGAAAGGTATTATTTCAAAATGTCATTTAAAACATAATATGGAATTTAGTCAATAGATTCTAAATCAAGAACACTCAGAATGAGATCAAACTCTGAAAGTACACTCATACTAGATATGATTAAATTGGTAAAATTGACCAATAATGCTAGTTAGAACACGTGACAACAGAGATAATATTGTGAAAACATGTAAGTAAAGGAGGTACAGTTGAAAAAGGTGAGCAAAAACATGTTGTTCATTTAACAATGAAATCTTGTAAACATTTCTTCAGTTAAAAGAGTTTCTCTTCTTTTTACAAACAATTTAAAAGCACAGTAAAATAGCCATTAGCTCCCATGATGAGCCACGTAAATTGTCTGGATTTAAACCATCTCTTTGACTCTAATCAGGGAACAGCAATGAACAAACACATAGTAGAACGATATAATTTTCTTTCATATTGCGGTTTCATGTGATAAACTGAATATTGAACAACGAATGAAGTATCTTGTAATAAATAGTTAATTCTTAACTTATTTCTATGCAAAAGCAAAATAATCAATTCGACAGATATCATTTCCATATGCATTTATATACATATGAATTTCAAAATTAGACAGTGGCACTTCATTCTAATTGGTAGAGTTTTAAGTAAAATATCAACGACAAATGTTTGTTTTTATCTTAAGCTTAAGAAGAACACATGGCTTTATTTTAAAAAGAGAAAAATGGTTTTAGAGAAACCTAATTAAAAACGATTACTCAAAGATTAATTAGAACACAATTTGAAGGAATGAGAGAAAGTCTAGAAATTATTCAAATTATTTGACATATAGATTATAAACTGTCAAATAATGATTTCCTTCGTCTTGTAACAATAATTATTATGATTATTGTTTTAAACGATTTTTCTTTTTCTCAACTATAAAAGACCTTTATTCGTAAAAAATTAATGAAACGTTTTTTGAACACTATCAAGCCAACGTAATCTACTTTCTATGCTCTATGATAAACAAAATCATAAACGATACTTGAGAAAATTCATTAACTGTGTATTATTTGGTTAATTCACCTATTGCGAGTAAAAACATCTTCATATGAGTACCTAGAATGGCCAATATCAGAAAATTGTGTGATTAAAAGCAAGACTATTGAAAATAACAACTGTAAACAGAATGATACAGTGAATATAATACAGAAATCCTTTGATGTCCTGGAAATACATGAAGAATAAAGGATTTTAGATTCAAAGTATTACAAATAACAGTGAGATAATGTGATTTGGAAAATATACATACAAAAAACAATTTAATGTAAATCATTCGCTTTCAATCTTTTGCAACCTTTAATTCTATTATGACACATAATAAAAAACAGTCGTTCGAATATCAGAACATTATAAAATGTTTCTATCAATAATCGTTTTATTAATATACTGAAGTAGGAAATTACCTGAAAAATTATGCAATATGTAAATGTCAGTCACATGGTGTTTTTTTAATGAAGTAAAAAACTACTGGCTAACGCAAATAAATAACAGTCAATCGATCTAACCAAAAGCTCGAATCTTCTATAGTTAAACCAGACTGATTATATTATTAAGTATCAGATAGGGAATATACAATTATTCAAGATTAAGACTACAATTATTGATGCTGATTTTTTTCTTTCACACAATCTCTCTCTTCGAACTCGACAGCTTAAAAAGATTTGACTATTTAATAGTCTACCAAGAAATAGCCTACATATTAATTATTAAATAAGCGTAGTATGTAAAGTTGTCTACCATATAATTACAATTAGATATTTTTTAGATTATCATGATTATTAGAGAAGAAAAATTAGTGAATGAAACAACTGTTTTATCTAAGATATTTTAGACGTATACAGAAAAAAAATGAGAATGGTCAGTATGATTAAAAACAAAATGAACGAATACGCATAGGATACAATCAAGAAGTACTTATGGGAAATATCCATCATATGAAAATCAAATTACAATAGTAATAAATTTTTTTTAATTATAAATATCAACGGATTCTTTTAAAATATGATTCATTCTATACTAATTAATTGACTTGAGAAGTTTTGGGTTATTTTTTGAATTTTACGAATATAACTAATTGTAAATTAGTCGTGTTAACTACTATTATTCAGAAGTTAATATGACTTGATAGACTGGAAGAAAAATTAATAAACTTAGTTAACAGAATATATTGAGATTGCCACTTTGTATCTGAGTACGCAAAGATACTGTAAAAATGCAAAATACAGATTGGAAATATGATTATATATATATATATATATATATATATATATATATAAGCATTTAAAGTGCTAAGTTCTATGATTTCTATAATTTCAACTACGAAGTTGAGATAGATCAATATTTCATAATGATCACATATGATTGTAACAAAATGAACATATGAAATAGCAGCAATACATACTTTCTTGAAAATATTAAACTTGTTAAAACGAAAAAAACGAACTCTGTGTACAGAAATGTAATGACGTTCTACATTTTAAATACATTAAAGTAATTAAGTTCTATAGTTATGTATAATCATCATTAACGGCGAGTCATATAAATATCAGAATAATAAATCAGAAATCGGAGTAACTGAGTTCATGACGTAATCAAACGTAGGAAACAAAAAGTGATTAAAATGAGTAGTATTAATTAGAAATATCAGCATAAGTCGATTAATTCTAACAATGATGAAAGTAAGAAGACAATATCACTGAATGAATTACTAATAGAATTAAAATTCAATAATCAAAGCAGTAAAATAGAGATGGAAACAATAAAACGTAGCAACGAGTACGGCTATCTTATCAGAAGCGTTTAGAAATGATGAAATACAGTTTCGTAGCTTATAGTTGGGAATAACAGAATACAAGATAGGGATACAGAGTCGTAAGTTAACCCTTATGTCACTGCTGTTTCCACAGCTTTTTTTATAACTTTCCAAGCAACATCTGCGTCAGCTTCGTTTTCAGAACTACGTAGGTGTGACCTCAGTTGTTCCTGGACGACTGAGATGGCTGGGCCACGTGTTACGTATGCCTGACCACCGATTACTACGACGCGCAATGATAACCGGTGTTAGAGATAATTGGAAGAAAGTTAGTTTTGGGGACAATAGATCCCTAAAAACTCATAATTTGTAATTTTATCTTGTGGAGCTTGTATGCAGATGTATATGTGGGCATTTCTTACCACCCACGCACATAGTTGATTGACGAATTTATCGATTAATGTTTCAATGTTTCAATGGCAGTCAATTGACGAGCTATCGATTAAATGTTTAAAAGCTCCATGGCAATATCGATATATATATATATATATATATATACGTTATTAAAATTGTCTTGTGAAAAGGTTTTCTGGTTTTCTGGTTGATGCAGAATATACTCTCATTTCAAGCCTGGTCTTCTCTCTAGATAGCGGAACTAGGACGCATCATTAGCTAGCTCACTGGTCGTTGGTTATCGAACCTCGTTCTCGTTTGCAATTTAAGTGAACTCGTTAAGCTTTAAACCTAACAATTTGGTGACGGTGGTTTTTCAATTATGGACCCTTCCAAACTTGAACTGTTACTTGAGCAGCAGCTGAAATTGATGCAAATGTTGACGGAGATCAGGGTTACGTCTCCCTTACAGCCAAGCACGTCTAGTTCAACCACGGCACTATCAGTAGATGGCATCGTAAATAGTATAGCTGAATTCCATTACGATCCTGATGCTAATGTTACTTTTGAGATGTGGTTCAGGCGTTATGAAGATCTATTTAAATTTGATTTCGCCAATCAAGATTATGCTTGGAAATTGCGGCTGCTACTTCGCAAATTGGGTGCAACTGAGCTGGATAAGTATTGCAATCTAATCATGCCTTTGAACCCAGGTGACCGATCTTTTGCAGACACAGTTCAAAAATTAAGTCAATATTTTGGCGATAACTCGTCACTGATTAATACTCGTTATCGATGCTTGATGCTAACTATGAACGAAGATGATGATTTCCTTACGCATGTGAGTGTCTAATTGATAATCATACATACAATGATCTTAAACCTAAAGGATAACAATTACCATACTTATATGGCCTACCCAAAACTCATAAGCTCGACACCCCGATAAGACCAATATTATCCATGACCAATTCGCCCTTCCACAAACTCGCTCGCTGGCTGACAAAATGCCTAGAACCAATCCGAAAGAAAGTAGCGCCCTACATTCTAAAAGACAGTCTTGAATTCGCGCAAAAACTCGACAACCTAAATGTTTCTGATAAATTTACGACTTCGTTTGACGTCTCATCACTTTTCACTAACATCCCCTTGGAAGAAATGGTTGAAATCATATGTAAATACCTGAACTTCTACCTCTACCAATTCATGATTTTAAACAGCTCCTTTTTTATGTACTAGAAACATACAATTTCAATTTAATAATATCTTTTACCGTCAAATTGATGGAGTTGCCATGGGTAGCCCGTCGGGCCCAATTCTTGCCGATATATTTATGGGATACCTGGAACAAAAGATGCTTAAGCACGCAATAGACACTACTACACTCTACTGTAGATACATTGATGACACATTTCTTGTCTGTAACAATCATAAGCATGCTATTAGACTACTCAATCTGTCCAATAAAGCACATAAGAATATAGAATTTACTATGGAAATGGAAGTTGAAGGTAAATTCCATTTCCTGGATATCGGTATCAGACGAACACCTGATGGCACATTACAGAGACACATTCATCATAAAAATACTTGGAGTGGACTATATCTCAATTATTATAGTTTCTGTCCGCGCTCGAAAAATTTGTTCAAAGGAATGCCTGGATGATGAGATCACTCTCATCACAAATGCTCTACGTGAAAATTCATACCCGTTGAAATTTATCCACAAATATGCGAAAACCAATCCTCAGGCAAAGTATGATAGAGTTGAAAAGAAATCTTGCTTCTTATATCTACGTTTCAAAGGAGATAAAATTTCTGGCTTAATTAATCACAGACTAAATTCTGCGTTGAAAGTTGCCTACCCAGCAGCAAAATTAATGACAGTATGGAAAACGAACTGCTCACTCCATAAAACTAAAATTGACAAGTGCTCTTTTCTTAGTAGATCCAACTGCATTTACCAATTCACATGTACGTGCCAAAGCACATACATTGGAAGAACTGAGAGAAGAGTACATGTTCGCATTTCTGAGCATGTTCCAAAGAACTTGAGGCTGCGAGGGACTAAGGTTCTTAACAGTGCAATCGCTCGGCATTTACTGGACACCGGGCATACCATTGATATTTCACACGCTTTCAAAATTATCAATAGACAACGAAGTACTACTACTCTCCGTTTCGCGGAAGCGATTGCGATAAAAAAACTTAAACTGGATTTATGCATTCAAAATAGACGTTAATAAACTTATCATTACCCTGGTAACCTTTTTTTTCGTGTGTGTGTTATTTTATTCACTTATTTATTTTCAAAATATTTATTTTCGGTTATATTCCCCCCTATTACTTTTCATTCACACATTTCCGCCCACTAATCCTCTTAAATTATGCTAACCTTTAAAATTCTGTTCGATTATTACGTAACCTATCTTATCACGGTTCTATTACCTCTAAAATAATTATCACACAATGTATAAACTCCATTCAACTATTACATTACCCATCTTTAATTGTTTCTTTAATTCCAACACCAATTAACCTCTGACCTGTTCTAGCATATATATATATATATAGTTATTTTTGTAAACCTTTGCCATTCCAGTTATCTACATTCATTTATGCCAATTGTTTTACACTATCTCAATGTAAAAAATTTTTTATCACATATTTGGTTGTAAGCAGCTGACGAGAAACCGCGAAATATTATGAATTCATACTATTCTGCATCAATATTTGTTCTTGCTTTATTTAAATTCATAAGGAGAACTAACTGTATGAAATTATTGTGCTAATGCGGTATGGCAATTTGGACCAATGCATATATGTGCCTGGTCCTACGTTGCAGCCTACTGACTGACTGAATGTAGTGAAATAAGACTTGACGGGGAAGACTAATTTATTATACTTATCCAAAATTACATAATGACTTTGTAAAATATAAAAATTCAACATTAAATAATTCTTATGCACATTTTCCTTGAGATGTCCTTCATATACCTGATCATTCTTCTAATTCTGTTATTATTTTGATTACTCTCCGTCTTAATTCCTGCTCTCTTCATTCAATCTCCAACTGGCAAGCATTCCACAACTTATATCTGTTCGTATAAGTAGTGTAAACCACACTAGAACACCTTAATGATATTTGTATAATCATCTTTAACATAAAGCTATAAATTATATTGTTTGTGGGGTGCTGGATGCGTACTGTTAAGTAGCCTCATCCTAAGACGAAAAGATTATCCAGTATATCCTAGGTTTTGAACAGTTGTCTAACTAAAGTTATTTCATCACTTCGATGACAGAAAAACAAGTATTAATTTATAAAACAGAGCAAAACAATTAATTAATAAACCTACCGCTTTTACTTCCGGTTCATAATCATCTAGATCGGACCCAAATAGTAAATTAATCAATTGTTTACCCAAAGTTTTTTGATAAACTAATCCTTCTTCTTCACTAAGTGTTTCATATAGGCCATATAGATTTGATATATCATCAGAATTTTCTGTACCATGTAAACTAATTGGATTACAGCATAGTTTAAATGCAATCAGTAGGATAGATTGAGTATGTGCAAGTAATACAGGATCATTGTCTAATGATTTTAATGTAATTATATTTTTACATTTATTATTGATAATAGTGTTATTTAAATAGGTACCATTTGAGTTTTTCTTATATGACGTATGTGAATTTGTTAAATTATAGATATTACATAATGAATGAATAAAATGAGTTAACATATGGTTTTCTACATAGACCCTATATTATGTAATAATTAGTAAATAAAAAATTTAAAAAATATGATTAAACAATTGAATTGAAACATAGTCGATATAAGAAATAAGAAGAAGAGACTTAGAACTAGGACGAAACAGCTATCTAGTGTTTATAGGTTTGTTATACAAAAAGAAAGAGCATTGTATAAAATTTCCTTAGCTTGAGAATGGTAATTAACAAATTTATTGTATGTTGTCAAGAATAAATCGCGAGAGATAATTACATGAAATCTAATTATCGATGATTCAAGTTCTATATAAAAAAACTCAATAAAAAATCATTTCTTATGTTTAATTAAACTATGACATTACTGATGGATTAAATAATAGACAATCTTGAGTTTTCGTATAAATATCATTAAAAAGTTAAGAAACCATCAAAAGATGGTATTGATAACATGATTAAGGATTATTAGAAAATTTCATAAATTATTCATAGATCACTGTGATAGTATAAAATGGATTATGTTTTTGTACTAATTTCGCCGAAAAAATCAAACATTCAGAAAATGTTATTTTAACATTGATAACAATCAGTAATACACCTATTCTCAATATCAAATTCATTATTTTTATTTTTTTGACGTACAAATGGTACTTTTAGTTAGTAAGTAAAATCTTTCAATCAAGTATTTAAATGACTAACTGTAGGTACATTATATATGATATGCCTGCATCACAGACTCGACGTTCAGTACAAGACTCAAACTCAGAGTCTGATCAATTGCAGTCCCAAACATCAATGAGAAGATTCAAACAAGCAATCAAAAAATGAATTGAAAGAAATGATAAATCTAGTTATAGAATAAACAGATATATAAGGCAACATAATACAGGTTAAGTATAGTACCTACTTAGTCAATGCAATTTGATACTCTTCTTCAGCATTTTTATACGGAAAATATAATAAGTGAGCACAAGAACTAAGTATATCTAATACTAAATCGGTTGGATGTAATGCCGCCCATGAACTATAACAAAAGAAAAAAAAATGAATAGACGAAAATTATTTAAAAATTATTCATTATATAAAACATTAATTATTTAAAAGAGACTTAAGTAACCTTTTGAGTGCTGTCTACAATGAAAGCGAACTCTTGGTGGGATCGATGATCAATGAATTTGTTTGACAGCTTCATTAGTAACGTTGTTCCCTTCATTTTAAACATAGAAATAATATATTGTTTGACTGAGTAATTTGCATTTTAAATCCCATTTTAAACCCGTATTTTACCAAATCAATCCTTTAATCATAATAGCAACTATATTTTTATATCAAGACATTCCTAATAATCTAAATCAATGTTTCAAAATAATAATATACTTTAGGTTCAGCTGCACTAGTGTGACAGTGAGAAACCAAAAAAAATTATTGTTAGGCTAATATTATTTCAGTGATAAATAGTTTTCTAAATATCAGTATAGGGTTTTGCAGAGAATGTGGAATCTTCATAGTTCGAGTAGTAAATCGATCTTAGTTAAACCATTATTAAATAAATGGAAGAATTGAACGGACGTTTAGTCCTAGCATCGGACTCTCAAACAGTAAGCATCCAATAATCAAACTCAGTACCTTCTGCCTACCATAGAAAATGGATGACATTAGAATTGTCGAACTTTTTCTCCCTAATTTAGAGTTTTAGCGTTCGTATGCAAGACAGAAGCTTCCGAGGTTTTATTCAATGATGATCTAAATAAGATCAGCCAGTGGTTTCAACAACGCAAATTCTACAAACTTCACTAAACCCTATACTGATATTTATAATATGCTCACTAGTGACTAGCCCCAAAATGCAGTTCCTTGAGTTCTTGTTAGAAACTACGATGATTATAGTTCGACAAAATTCAGCGTGAGACAGTTGTTCACCTCAGGCAATGGTGGATTATTTCAAGAATAATACTAGAAAACAACTGCTCCTCTTATTGGAAAAACGATGCAAACCAGTAAACATTAGAGAATATTAAGATACATTTGTCAAATTTTCAATGAAATGGGGGTTGTAAATTAATGAAATTAAGACTGAAACATTAGTTATTCAATTCATTTGCATGTCTTGTATGACGTAAGTTAAGTCTGAACGTTTAGTGCTTGATCTCATGTAGAAACATCATCGACTCATTATGTTCAACAGAATTAGAATAAGATAACACAATTGTCAATTGTTTTTATAATTTTCACGTTCGGAATGAAAACGTATAATGATTTATAGTACTATGACATTTAAATGAATAAAATGTTAAATCGAACATCAACTGTATGCTAGAAATAAAATTTAAGTTATTGAAAATGGCATTAGTGTTAAAGACTAATATGAAAAAATATTTTTATAGTCTGATTTATAAAAACATTTTATATTCAATTGAACACCATATATGGTGTCATTTTCAAAGTAAACTTAAAAAGATAACAAAATTTTGATGAAACAATTTTTTCTATCGACATTTTTCTTTTGAAATACTAGTGTAGTGGATACCACTCACGAGATTGCTCATAAGTAGTATGCAGCGGAACGTTGCATAGGAGTTGCTGCAGCTGACAGTTGAAGACAGGAGTTTCAAGAAGCCAAAAGTACGACGAGTTCAGAATATTAATGAAACCAGAAGAGAAGATATGGAAGAAAGTCTACAACCAGTTTGGACTGCAGAATACATAATATATGCAAATGAAAGATTGAAAGCTAAATGTATATATTTCTTGAAAAACCTGTGTTCCCTTTAAATAAATATATATTTCATCTAGACTTAATTTGTTGATACATTACATGTACATGTACTAATACATGTACTCAAGGAATTAATACATTTTATAAAAAATAACCAGTTGACCACATAATCGTAAATTAAATGTTCATTAAAATAACAAAATTTCGATAGATAAAATAGACTGAGTATTGAACATTGCTTTTATAATGGATATGTTGGAAATATGTTACCAGTGAAAAATGTAACTACCACACAAACAATTATACTGGACACATTAATACTAAAGAACAATAACAATTAAATTATCAAAAGAAGTTTATTGTGAGTAGAAACTGAATTGAAATAATAAGAACGTGTTGGATTTTCGTATGAGCCTAATTTATATCCATATTAGATACTATGAAAATTATTTCGTCACTCGCTTCAATTATATGGTTGATAATGAAGAGGAAATAGCAATTACCATCTACTTTTATAAAATTATCAAAAATTTCTTCGTCTCTACCCCCAATTTATGTGTATCTATACGATTACTCTTTCCTATTAATGTATTCACATATGCATGAATATCAGTTGATGAGATTGTGAATTTGTTTATTTTGTCCATTAAAAGACAATTTGCATTTAAATTGAAACTAGTTCGATTACAGTTGATGGTTGTAACGGATTAACCTTGAGACATTTAGCCTTAATGATCGTTTTTCAAAATAGTTGAAACACTGAAACTGAATTGAACTGTTAACATTTCTAACTCTTATCAGTCTATGACATATAGAAACAATTATTTAGTGTCATTGATTACAAAACTAAGAAGTCTCATATTAAATAGAACATTTTTCCAATTACCCTTAGTTTTAAAAACAACACTAAAATGATGTTAATCCATATGGAATAATACCCAAGAGTAAAAATGGAATATATTTAATGTTTGAACATCTAAAAATGTAGTATTTTCAACTGAAACATTAGAAGATGAAGCTTTGAATATCTACAAAGTACATTCTTCTCAAGTACGACTGTGGTGTGGGTTAGTTACATCCACATAAATAGTATATAACGGTGGTCAGGCATAGAATGAATTTAAGCAGAAGATCGATAAGGAAAGAACGGAAACGGTACGCAAGTGGTATGAAAATGCATCAGCGATGAAATCTGAGAAAATGAACTGATATTCGCAAAGGGAACAGTCAAGTTTGAGACGATGGATTGATATTTTGCAAATTAACTATTACTATATAGTTCTCAGATTTTAGTGAGATGTTCCGTAATTTTTTTGCTCAAATACATTCGATTAGTCCCATTCGTGTTCTTGTTCACTACACGACTACTTTTAAATATAGGATTCACATTACCATAATTAGTGTTAAATGCTATTTCAAGAGAAAAATTTCATTCTATATAAATGACTTGAAAGTATTTATGCATAATTCATTTCAAGCTTCTTTAAAAATTATCTTGATAAATCAAAAAAAAAATTATTTTTTGTTGTCCAAATATAAACTAACGCAAACAACAAAAAAAAGTAGTCATAATGGGTTAAAAAAATTAGCCCATTAGTACAGTTTTCAAAATCTTAACCAGTAGTAAAGTTTTACACCGATATGAAAAAAAGGACAATTATAGGTATAATATCTAATATAGATTTTCTTTTGGATAAAAACAAAAACTCACTGAATGTGAATAGTAGGCCAGTATGATTAAATTTTATTGTTATAATCTTTTTTCTTTCTTCCCTATTGTATTATCCTTATTCTAAACAAAACTGAATGCTTTGAATTTTATAAAATATAGAAAGATAATATAGAAGCTTAAATTAATTTACTATAATTATCTTCATAAAGAGGAAAAAGTAGATTAGAAGCAATACTTAATAAGCAAACAATTGTGGAAGAAAACAATTCAAAGTGCCGAAAAGATAGAGGTTTGTCTATCTCCCTTTTTTTTTAGAAAAAAAGCGCTTTAGTTACTCCATTAGGCACTTAAGGTGTAAAACTTATCAAATATGGAAATCGACACCTTTTTTTATGTAAAAAAAGTTGAGATAAAACTAATAACAGGATTAAAACAAAATGTAATAGTTTACTACTAAATCCTACTTTTATTTTTGTAATGCCTTTGTATGATTGGTAAGATTTTATCACAAATTACTAACCGTTGTTAAACCGATAGAAGACAGGAAAATATTTTTAGTTCAAAATCAAAATTTTGAAGTTGTTTCGACCTCTGAAGCATCTTTAAAATTACAAAGACGTTATTGAAGCTGCTAAGAATATGTGTAGAACAAAAACTCATAAAATCTTTGCAATCATTAGTGTCTAAGCCAAAGGAAATAACCATAAACGAAAACGAACTGAAAGTCATTTGCGAGATAAATTGTAGCAATTATGAGAAAGATTATGTATGATAAGGTAGATACCAGCTCCGTCTAGGCGAACAACAGTTTGCGGTTAAGCGACATGACATAGCTTTACTTACATCAATGTTTGCGAACAACCACGAAGATTAGCTCCCAAGACTTTGATTACATATAAATCAACAGATATGTCGAAAAAAATTCAACCTATTAAGCAGTGACGAAAAGGATGAACAACTCCGATGTCAGAGATTTAAACAAACATGCAAACAATATGCACAAACCTTTAGACAATAACTGACGAGATTCTATGATAACAGAACAATCTACTAATTGATTGGAGGTAAGTTTCGCTAACTCATCCATCGTTTTATTGTGTTTTAATGATTTTGTCGTGAAAAACGATGAAGGTTTCCCAGTTAGGTCATCCTATTGAGAGAACCAAACATCATAAAACTGGTAAAAATTAAAAACCAGTGAAAAGTCATTTATTTCCAGTATTGTGCGTATACTGTACATGGTGGTGGTTCATTAATCACGCGAATTCACGCTCGAAACGTTCATGCTTCGTAACGAATACAATACTATTTAAAAGCATTGAATCAAATGTGATAGATCAAATTTTACATTCAAGCAGTTTGAGCATACCTACAAAGTTACAAACTACGAACCAAGACCTGTTCAAAGTCCCATAATTTTTAACAGTTCTCTAGTAGGTATCCCTTTATAAGAAATAAATAATTGGAGTACAGGTAGTTACAGCGTACGGTTGAAGATAACAAACCATCTTCCAATTAAAGAAATAATTAAGAAAAGGCGATAGAAGTGGATAAGACATACATTACAAAAATCATGAAACTGCATCACGAAGCAAGCACTAAGTTTGAATCCTGAAGCGAAACGGAAAAGAGGAAGGTCAAATAACACAATGCGCCGAGGATTGGAAGCACACATGAATAGGATGAATAGCAAATGAGGAAGATTGCCAGGATAAAGTTCAATGGAGAATGCTGGGGGGCAGCCTATGCTCCTCTCCTTGGGGTAACAGGTGGAAGTAAGTACAGTGCAGTTACAAGATAGTTCTACCCAAAAATTAAAATAAGTGATATGAACTTTATAACATATTTAGTTCTACTGAATTAAAGTTAAGTAACAAAACATAACACCAATTCAACACTAACATCAAATTTCCTCACTCCAATAGTTTAATCAGAAACAATAATCCATATAGAGAACGCTTAATTTTATTTATGAACGGTGTAAGGTTACTTTTTTTAACATTAAACTGATTTTCATGCACATATACAATTTCATTTTCCATTTATAATTTCAGTATTTCTAGCAGCATATGACATATGTACATAAGTTCATTCATACAGATGGTACACAGAGCTAGTGAAATATCTTTATATGTATAAAATAAACAGTCGATATAAAATAAATAATCTTTGATAAAATTTATTCTTCTGAATATTCATTAACTGATAGTAACATCAGCAATATCAATCACTGAGAATCTTTATAATTTGCTAATGAAGTTATTTAATCAGTTTTATATAAAACTAATTACTTAAATCAAGTAAAATTAAATATGTAATTTGTTTCTTATTGATTAAACCCATAAAAAAGTTTACCAAAAAATTGAGTTTTATACGAATAACTAAGTAAGTAAAACATATTGTATGTTCTTTTAAAAAAAACAAGTAAATATTTACTCAATACTTATTTATTTTATGTTCTCCAATTCCATTTATGATATTGGGTTTATCAAAAAAATATAAGTAATTTCAATGGTTGAGATCATAAGTTAATTGAAGCTAGATCACCATGGAAAACCTGGAAGCACTGGACGGCCGTTTCGTCCTATTTTTTGGCCTCCTCAGCAGTGCGCCTCCGCGAGATTAGAACTAAGGACATATCAGTCTTGCGCATCAGAGCTTAACCACTAGAACACTGATTTGGCCGACATCCAATGATGTCAATGTCTAACTTCGACCAATCCACGAATTCAAAAACACATCCACTATTGTCTTCAGTGAGTTACTATCGCATAACAGACCTGGCTGAACTCCACTGGTCACTGATCCTCACTAGGACTTCATGATATACTCCTTGAAACCAGTCCCTAGTGAGCATATGTTGATTAATATCAGAAGGGGATGGCCGTTCAAAATTGGAAATTAACATCATGGGATGTTGGCCAGATCAGTGGTCTAGTGGTTAAGAGTTCGCGCGCGAGACTGATATGTCCTGGGTTCGGATCTTGTGAGGCGAGATCGTGGATGCGCATTGCTGAGGCCAAAAATAGGACGAAACGGCCGTCCAGTGCTTCCGGGTTTTCAATGGTGCTCTACCTTCAACTAACTCATGATCTCAACCATTGAAATTACTATAATATCCACAAAACCCTTTCTGGTACCAAATTTAAGTTATTAGATTGTTGTTGCTTCATTCAACTCATCTCAAATCTCTTTTTCTACATATGACTTTCTTATAAACAATTGACATGTCATGATACATCGATTTTATGTGTACATAGTTCAATAATCATGTTTTCAAATCAACCAGTATATATATATATATATATATATATATATATATATATATAAATCTTGAAAGTAAACGTATGAGGGTTGGCAAACAACCATCTGTGAATTTGAGAAATGATACAAGAAGTGAAATATATTACAAAGTGATTTTTTCCTTAATCGGGAATAAAATTAAGAATCAGTAATCTGTAAAGTACAAACTTCAATTATACTTAGTTAAAATAAATTATTGAACTATTTGACCTTGTGAACTCATTCACATTATACATACGTTTTACTTTGACAAAAACAATTAGAACTTATTAATCCTGTATAAATTTGAATTATGTTAATTAACAAGAAACTAGATAATAACGATTAGAATAGAGAAGAAACAAGAAGATATTACAAAGAATTTCGTTATGGTTTTGAACCATTAAAATTAAGAGAAAGAAATGAAATTGAGAAAAAAGAGACACTGAACTGAGATTTTATGTTTGTTGTTAAAAATTGATCTCAAAATTAAATCACATTACTCATTTACAGAGAAACAGTAGCAAACGTATTTTAGGCCTTAAATAACTTTAATAAAGATTGCTTAATATATAAAAATTAGCAATGAATGTGAATAAGGATGTAATCAGCGCCTCTGAAGAAATTATTACAATGTCCAAGTGCCATGGAGGCGAAAAAAACAGATAGTAAACAGTTTTATGAAATATATCAATGTTATAAATTAAATTACTCATTACAAAGTTTTGAAGTTTAACTTAAAAGTTCAGGTGACCGCCTACCATTAAATTTGAATCATAATGTATCGACATTATCTTCGGTTTATTTCAACACTGCACTACAACCATCCAAATAGAGAAAATGATAATATTGAAGATCGATATTAGGAATTTTATATTTCATCAAGATGAACACTTAACTAATTGACAATTGAATCGATAATCATTGATTTACATGTTTAACTTCAATCCCATTCAAAACATTTGATAAGTGATATTTTGTCAACAGAACTCGTCGGCTGGATATATCTGCATCCCAGAGATGATGTTTATGCCGGGACTCAAACTCAGTACCGTTCGCTTTAAACGGCATCTCATTATACACTTAGCTACTGAGTCCAAATCCACTAGTTTGTGCAATGGAGTGAAGTTTTAATTCATTTTTTATTGATTGTTTGAGTCTTCATATTGATGTTTGTGACTGCAATTGATCAGTTTCTTATTAGTATATGTGCATTTTATTCGGACTGCCTTGATGTTGCCTTGAGTCACAAGTATTATAAGCAGAGATGGATGGTGACTCGCAGTACAATTCAAAAAAACAAACTAAAAATGAATTAAAACTTCACTCAATTGCACAAGCCAGAAGCTAAATGGATAACAAGATGGCGTTTTAAGCGAATGGTACTGAGTTTGAGTCCTGGAGTTAGCATCACCTCTGGGATGTAGGTAAATCCAGTATTTTAAATCGTTAAATCATCGGCCGTTAAAACCACTTCACAAACTTCGGTGTTATAAATAGTTACAACGTGAGACACTAATATTACCGTACAACGCAAGCCCTATATCTGGGTTTCATGTACATGTAAACTTGAAGTGATAAAACATGCTTTCTAACAAGAACCTGTACTGAAAACATTGATAAGCTAGTTAAGTCAGAAATTTCAGTTCGAAACCAGATGATAAGTGAGAAATATAAAAAGGTGCATGCTACTAGTTAAGATATGGCTCAATTAGCTAAGAGAGACTACCGTACGCTTATGGCTGGAAATATGGCTTAATTTTCTGAAGTACATATTAGCGGATAAGTTTAGCGATGTTTCTTGATCATGGTTAGTCAATAAAAGCTTCATACTCATTACCGGTTTTCTGACTCAGGAACATAGTTGTGGTAGCGCATACGAAGCATATATGTATGTACCGAATTCGGACAACCACCCAACATAAACAGTTAGCAATATCTAGTGTATAATATGAACATAAAATAACTTTTTCATCGACCCTTAAATAGTGAATTGCAATAGATCCAAATTCTCGAAAAAAACTCACCTTTGACGTAGTTCTTCAATGCATTTTGTTGTAAAAAAATGCTTTAGAACAGATAACATTTGACTTTGATTACATAATAACGTTTCAATGCACAATTTTGGCTTCTGAATATAAGTAAACAATAAAATTCGAAACTATGGGTGAGATTCACGTTATTAGTAGTAAAATAAACATATTGATAAACATTACAACTCCACCTGGAGTCCCTCCGTGGGCTACAGCCGGTCCCGAGCCTGGATAAAGGAGGAGGGTTGGGCATGGGTTTAGCGACTTCATCCCGTAGAAAACTAACTCGCTAAAAAACGCTAACCAGATAAAAATTACAACAATATTTTCAATTATGATGTGGTAAAATTGCAATTTGGATAAAAGCAAAATCAAGGTCTTCTTCAATAAAGACCCTACGTAAATACTAAAATATACTGATGAGTTCACTTGGTAAAATAAGCATTGAAAAAGTGACAAAGCTCACAACAGCATATAACAACAAAATGTTTAATAACTCAAAAATCAGCTCTTTCGTAACAATCGCACCCTAAGGATTAAAACAGTTGATGAAAAGATTGGATTCGAGCCCCATGCGTGAGATAGTGAATGCATACTAATGAAGAGTACCACAGTAAGACAAAACGACCATCCAGTGCTTCCAGGTTAATGTGACATCAACTTGTTCAGACCTGTTTTTGATTGATCAAATATTACTCTTGCATTGTTCCGTTGTACTATTTAAACTTGGATTAATTTTAATTTGGTTATTTATTCTCTGAAGAAGTGACTTACACTAAGTCATGAAACGTCAGAAAATCTAATTTTCTACTCATTGGGATATTACAAATATATTATTTATTTATAACAATCAACCCATTGCTCAATTTATTCGAAACTATCAAATCAAACCTTGGTAATGATACCTATGAATTCTCAATAGATAGAAAAAGATTTAAGTAAAAAAAAATAATAGCTAGTGACGTCATCCAATTCAACGTCTAAGCTGTGATATTCAATTTAATAAAAAATATCTAAGTATATGTATCCACTTGTATTACAACATAGATTTCTTTGATACACCGTATAAATTATCTCCATCTAGAGACAAATATACACACTTAGATACATGTATCCAACCATTAAAAAGAACGTTATCTGATCATTTTATTAATTATACCGATAATATTCATTGACATACATAAACAAATGAATAAGACAAATAAAACGACAGTCATATTTATTTATAAAATATTTTTTTTGTTTTTACTATGACGTCATACATATAATCAAACATTACATCAATCATTATATACAAAACAATATATAACACTTTTCTTCATTTATAAAAACAATGAAAGGAAGGAAAATACATGATTAAATGTCCTAAAAAAAAGAATAAATTAATTCAACAAATCTATTTATTATAGATCTATACTGCAAAGGTAAAACGTTATTCATTTAGCATTTTTCCTAAGGAAAATAATATTAACATAAATTTTCACTTCTATATAATGACGAAAGTTATCTTGCTTGGACATAAATCTGATATGCATATATATAAACAGTAGGTATTGAATTATAATAAAAACATGATAAAATGGATTGATGCGTAAAATTTATTATTCTATGGAGACACGTGTGGTATATCTGGTCGCGTCAACAGACGTTTTTAATCATTAATTATGATAATCGCATCGACCTAAACACGGTACAGTTTAAAATTAATGAATTTATAAACTGATATCACATCTTGTTTTTGATTATTCTACTTTTTTTCGATCAACTTTTATACCAGAAAGCACTGTGTAGTGAAATAACACGAGTTGACAAACGTTTACTGGGTTCTTTGCACCCGTGAGATAGAAATCTACCAGAACTGATAAAACTTTCAAAATGAGTAAAATGGTCGATGTTCTCAACATCGCTCTCTATATACTGAGTTCAGGCGCATTCATCAAACATAATCACACCATATTTGTATTCTAAGTTTACAAGTGCAATTACCTTGTAGGAGGTGAGTTCTTGTACATTTATACGACTAGATCATCATCTCTAAAAGAATGTCACCAAAAACAGTTTAGTAGGATTGGAAAATGTAGAAAATATCAATCCTGACGACAGTTCGCTAAAAGCTCTAATTCCGCAAGTATGGTTTGAGTAAAGAGCGTTTTTAAGGTTAATCAGCTAAACTATACCTTGCTGAAAATTGTAGCAGCCAAATTCAAAGCTGATAATATTCCTCTAGGTGATAACATGACTAGATCAATACCGTGATCAGAATCCGACGATGAATTAGTTGATTTATGCAGATCGAATATTTGTTCTAAACACTGCCAAATTCTTTCAGATATACGAAATTCCAGAAATGACTGCCAAATTGTGTTTCCTGCCTATAAAATATCATAGATAAGTAATATAACACAATCGATTGAATAAAAATTTATACTTTATATATGTTTGAAGAAGAATGATTTCATTAAATCTAACATTTAAATGATTTTGAAGATCTAATATTCTCGACTATATTGTGAATACTTTCATTTCATTGTATTCGTCATATAAATTAGTATTTATCAAGAAATTCAGATTTGCAATTTTATTAAATAATTAATTTTGTAGGTAAATATCGATTACTATACGAATATTCGTCAAGATTAGAACGAATAGTTTGATAGAAATTGGGCGCCGAGTATAAAGAAGTCATTATATGTGAAAATTATATTTGAAATAATCTCAGCGATTGAAATTTAAATAATTCCAAAGTTTCATCCAGCTAACTTGTCTGGACTTCTTCAGGATAATAAGAACAGTCCGAACCGAAAGGATGGTATTCAACTAGCGACTACCTGGCAAATGTTCATTGACACGTAATTTGGACCCTTTCTTTATTCAACTTGTATATTTCACATGCATCGTTATTTTGACTGAAACTAATATGAGTTTTTTAGCAATTACAAATGTGTATTTGATGATCCTCAAATCGACATGCACATCGATGATCCAGAAACAATTTTTTCAACCTTGAACTTTCGCTTTTAGTTAGTTACTTATTGATTCCTTCATATGTAACATAATAACACCGAATATAAATAATTAATAGCTTAATCTAACACATACATACAATTCGTTTTCAGTTAATTATTTACACATCGTGAACTTTTCACATGATTACCGTGTAAACTGACTCATGTTATCCTATTTTACAAAATCAACATCTAAATATGATTGGTTTAACACAGTATAGTTTTGATTGTTAAAAGTTATATATTTCTTTGATAATTTTGATTTTGAATATTACCCTGAAGAAGTCCAGACAAGTTAGCTGGACGAAACGTTGGAATTACTTGAATTTCAATCGCTGAGATTATTTCAAATATAATTTTCACATATAATGAATATTGATTACCCTTTATTATCTGTAATCAATTCCTAAGGAATACTAAAAATATACTTTCATACGGTCTCTTTTTAAACTGATAATGTATCATCGGTTAAAAAATTATCTTTTACCTAATGAGAAACTGATGTTCTGGAATAAAAATATTATTTAGTTATTATTATGCCAATTAACGTAGTTGTCAGACTTTAGAATATAAAATTTGAACAAAATAATGTTTGAAATTACAAGCGTATTTTTATAATTATTGCAATATTGCATTCGACTTCATACAATGAAAATATAATCTAACAAATGAACATACATGCTAATATATATATATATATATATATATATATATATATATATATATATTCTTTGATTCCGTATTTAGTTAATTCTATTCAAAGTTGGTGGAAGTTTCAATGTCACGCTGATCATTAACAATAATTATGTTACTATAAAGAGAATAACTGCTTTACTGGGTTTCTACATAAGTCCGTAATCACAATTGATAGAAGGAAGTTAAAATTACTCATCAATAGACGGATACAAATTCGTTCATGAATGCAATAATTTCAAAGTACTCAAAACTTTTATTTAAAAAAAGGTTATATTCAGGCAAAGGCATTTTACTTAACTGAATGCATATAGTTAAATACATGCAATTCAACTTTCTGATTGTAGTTTTGAATACATTTTATGAGTATGTCATTTAAAATAGTACAGTCAGTAGCTTAATTTTCCAAGTATAATTTTTAAAAAAGTAGTATCTCAAAGGAAGATTGATGCTGTTAATGTACTTGTCATTAAGCTAAACTTGAATCAATCATATCAATTACAAAATTAAGAAAATTTCCAGCACTTTTTTAATCCAAACTAATTTGTATAATTTAAACGGTAAATTAAAATTTTTTTCTCAACAGTTCAACTAGTCGACTACAGATTATTGAACAATAAAACGATTTTCATCTAATTCAATCAATTTGATCAGTAGAATTCAATCAACAGTAAAGGTTCAATAGTATGAAATTGAATATTTTTAATGACCAATATTCAAAATATAAATCGAGTTCACTTGCAAAAGCAGCAATTAAAAAAGGAATCAAAATCGTTAATTAAAACATTTATCAAAGTCTGAACTGTAAACGTTTATGGGTAGAAGAAAACTATGTGCATGTCCTTGAGTCATCCTATTGGATTAAAGGTGCCAGCTGACACCTACCACTGTATTCCTTATGCTCATTTACTTAATTAAGAAATATATAAACATTAAATTATCACATTAAACAGAACGAAATATAAGAATTATTCATTAAATTATATGAGAAAATTAGCTAACCTGTGTACAGATAATTTGAGCTAAATTAAATAAACCATCAAGCCAACCATGATTACCAGGCCATAAAATTTGTGGTAAACCGAAAGTCATTGACAGATCTATTTCACTATGTGAATCATTTATATTCTCTTTTAAACTGATTGCACCTCTTGGTGTAGATTCGTTTAAAGCAGCTAGTAATCGACTACGTGCAGATTGACTTTGAGCTATTGGAGAAACCAGAATTAATGACATTGCTTGAACTATATCATTTGGTTTAGCTGGAATATTGTACTCTTGTAGTTCATAGATTTGAGATAAAAGTAGAGCTGAAGCAGCCTATTTCAAAAGTAAACTAAGCGTGAATAAATTCATGTTTATGATGAAAATCTAAAATTATTTTATTCAATAAAGATTTAAAGCAATTAGTCCCTTTTATAAATTTAGATAGAATAAAGAGAAGACTTGGTTATTCTGGAAATGCCATAGTATTTTATAATGCACAGATGAACAACGGAAGTCGAGATGCGAAGCACATAATTGAAATGAGGCTTATAATAGACATCAACAAGGCTTTCAAAACGACGAATTTGTAGGTTTATAGAAGCCTTGACTGTTCATGACTTCGAACACCCCTCCTTATGTGTACAGAAACAATTTGTCGAATCTCTGAATTCACCCTAGTGGTCTTTAGACCACTTTATGGTCTGGGGTAATGTAACAACTACCTATTTTTCCTAAACTATGTTAATTTTCTCCCTTTATTGACAATTATTACCTTGTAAGCAGAGATAGACAGTGGATAATGACTAACATTGGAATTCAGGGTATAAAATATATGAGTTGGAACCAAAGATAGTCGAGTATAAATAATGTATTATGTAAGTCATTACTCTAATTCATTTGTAAAATATTTGTATCGGATACTATTCACACTTGCTACGGTATAATTTACTTTGATGTACAACTTGATAACAGTTAGTCAGTTATCAACGGTGACTTATACTTTTCAAGGAATATTTATCCATTCAAGTTCGTAAACCTTCGTATCAGCAAACGGAAGTGAATGACTTTCATGAGAAGCGAAGAAAGAGAAGTAATATCAAATATGATGTGAAGTTAAAAACAAACTACGAAAAACTTATCACTGACCATACTGACAACTTTTAAAATTCCACGCAGTATAGAAGAGCATTGACACCAATAGATCATGAAAAAACATGAGCAGGATGACACTGAACAATAATTAACTTTAAAATATAACTCGAATAACATATTAAGGATATTTAAAATGTTTCTTTCTTCCGAAACAAGAAACATGCTATTTCGAACTACCTAGTTTCATTAGACATGTATGGAAAAGTCAAACCAATGTCTTAGTTATTTATTTAAACGGTTGAATAAATTCAGCGTTGAACTGTTAATTAGTGTTGCTATGATTAATACTGTTATTTGTATATGTCAAAACTTTATCGTGTTGACAGTTTTAACTATTTAATAAATTACTATTTTCTAGTTTATGGAATACTATGTGACAAGCAGATAGACTATGAATAAAATAAACTTCTAACTGAACAAATTAGCATAAACTTTAATGATTATATAGTAGACTTACTGCATGACTTGGAAGATGTGATTCAACAAGCATTTTACAAAATTGTGCTTTGTTCTGTAATATTCTAAAGGAGAGAGCAAGTATTACTACTGAATTAACTGGATTAGTTAATGTTTTGATGAATAAAATATAGATATGCTGTAATTTCATACAGTGATTACCAGGTTTGAAAGCCGATTATTACAACTAAACTTGAATCAAATGTTATCAGTCAGACTTTAGTGCATGAACATACTCATGGGTACTGAAGTCAGTTGAAGAGAATTGAGATCATACAACTGGCTTTCAATAAAGGAAAATACATACTATTTTTAAATAGCTAATCAGTAATGACCCATTTTCCATAATAATGAAACATATATATATATATATATATATATATATATATATATATATATATATATATATATATATATAACCTTGAACCATAGTTTCTCGACAGTATGATCTCATTTTGAGATCCCCAAATAAGTAGTCTAGCTACTGTTCAACATGAAATAGGCAAAAATGGCAACACCTTCTAGAACATACTTGTAACACTGCGTTCTATTTTCAACCTTATCAGTCAAATAAATCTTTAGAAATATGGATTGAAACAATTTGACAAGACGTTTCTCCCTACAAATCTTATTAAGATCATCTGATTAATTAGATACCTACATTCACATTTTAATCCTTAGACCATCAGAAATGATCACGTTACATTTATCAACTCAAAGATATGCAGAATATCAGCATCTAAACAAGCAACATATTAACCAATGGTAAAACTACGCGAAATAAAACGTTATTATTGCCTGAACTATTTACTAAAATCAACTTACTAAATGAAAAGGTTAAACTGTTGTTATAAAAAAAGTATTTCTAATATATATATATATATATATATATATATATATATATATATATATATATATATATATATATATATATTATTGTACGACCAGAAATATTATTCATGAATTGCATTTTATCTCGAAATTCATACATATCAATATAGTAACATTTCTTGTGAAAGCCACTTGATAAAAAAATAGTCGTTGCTATATTTCTACTAGATTCAAATGTCAAAAACATTCAATTGTTTTCCCAGAACATATGCTGTCTAGAAGGAAACTAATCATTTTAACTATCTACAAAAAATATAAATCCCGGTGCAACTTCCATACTATGGATTTATAAACGTATTCATTTTTAAGATTATAAATTTTATGAATGTGAATCATAATATTAACATATCATATTATGTGAAATATTATCTTTTAACTGTATGAATGGTCAAAAAACAAGCTATTAAAATTATAACCAACTGATCAACAGTGGATCAACTTTCAGATAGACTTGTATAAATTTGAATGAGAAACTAAGATGTATGGAGTTAATCTAGTCATAAATAAATAAGTAATAAGTGAATAGATGTTGATAAAATGCGAACATCTTATTTCTGACTCAGTAGTTTCATAATATCATACTTCTGACAAGATAAAAAGTTCATGAGCTCAATTCTAAGCGGGATTATGAATGAACACAACTGAAGAATGTCCAACTTGATCGGAACAATTATCTAATCGGTGACAATCAAGTGTTACTAAATTTTAGCATGATTTCATTTTGACGAAAATGACGGTAGATGGTTTTTTTCAAGTATAAAATATTTTGGCGAACATTAAACATTCAAAAGAAACCAATACTCTCAGTATTGACCGGTTATTGAAATAATATTATCTGAATATTTAAAGCCTGTACTGAAAATAAAGCTGAATACAAAACTTACATTTCTGGTACATGACCCAATTGAATAATAAATGCAGTTAATGAATGCATCACTAATTCAACTAAAGTTACACGATCAGATTTTGATACGGAAACCTGTAAATTGGATGTCAACAATACATATCTTAAGATATTAATATTGAACTAAGGAAAATTATATCAATTCAAAGTAAATTACAAAAATAATTAATACTACCAAAAGATGAACATGTAATGATAACACAGAATTCTTTAATTCCAGAACACAACAAAATGATGTTATTACCATAGATCTTTTTCAAATCCGAAAGTAAATTAAGAATTTTAATGACCTTCTTTAAACATTTTTACTATCAATCCATCTCTAAAGCTTAAAATATACATTTTTTGTGGAATGTCACGTTAGAATGATCACTTCAACGGATAATGATGAAGTAAAACTTGAAGTCCTTAAACGAAGATGTATTACTTGTTAAACACAAAAGAGCTGGCTTTCTCATTGAGGCATGTGAGGTTGTAGTAATAAACAGTTTAAGATTGAGGAGTTATAGCATTCAAAATTAATTAGAGTAAAAAACATTAATTATCCTATCGTCTTCATCAAAAACACGAAGTTGAAATTTACTATATATTTCATGCACTGTTCTTATTCTTGTAGACAATTTAAGCTCCTTGTAAACGCTTGTATTATTGATATCAACTTTACTAATCCGTTTACATACAATTTGATTCCCTTTCCAAGTCACAATATGAGGTATGGAAAGTTGTACCAACAGTTACTTGGCCTATGTATTCAAGTCCAGTAACTTATGACATATTGCTATTGATCGACAAAATTCTGTCAACATTAAGAACTAGACAAGCATGATTGTGAGTACGGCCCTCAGATAAACTCAAGAAAGCTATAAGAAGCTCAGAAAGAGACGGAGATATCCCATCCAATCATCTTTTGGAAGGACATTCAATAATCTCGACGTGTAGCTTCCCTATTTGACAAATGCTCAAAAGCACTGTATGTGGATTGGATGACTGTTATGAGGATTTCGGTTTTACTAAAAACTATAAATACCTGAGAGTTTTGCACCATAGATGACACTGTTTAGAATAACATTCCTTCTCACTCGTCTTCTGATTTCTCACTTGCAACTTGGAGGGTTCTACCGTTTGAGTGATCAAATAGTACGCTGTACAACAAGAATCTAGTCTCCAGATATAACAATGATATAGGTTACCCAGATCTGAACTTAATATAGAGCGTCAGCTCCGTCAAGACTGAAACTAGGCTTTATTGATGAGTCCCAATTAGCAACAAACCCAGTTTCAGGACTTCAGATTAAATGCCAACAACAACTTGTAAATTTTTGAAATCGCCCTATCATGTAGAATCCATTTAGTTTTGGTTGAAATTATTAACTGATCAATGTTATATCATCTACAAGATCGATTTTCTCCAATCATATAACACGACCAAACGCAACTACTTTTATGGTTAATGGATGAATAGAACAATGACATTAATAATAATTACTCACACTTCCTCGTAACAAGTCTAGCAAGGCTTCCAAATATACCGGAAACTTTTTCATACAATAGTGAGCAAATAAAGTATCAGCTTGTACGCAATCATAAAAAACCTAAAATACAAGGAAAGAATTTACTTTAACATACATTTATTGTCTTAAATAAAGCAAAAACAAAACTTGATGCAGAGTAATATGAATTTATTTTATTTCAAATCGTTAGGCTTTCATCAGTTCCTTACAACCTATAACATTTCATTACAGATATTGACACACTTATATATAGGAAGGTGATTAAAAATGAATATGTACATCGTGATATAGCGAAGATTCTAATAGAGTTATCTAAACTATTTTCGAAGCATTGATTACATCATCGTCATTTTTAAAAATGCATAATTGTTACTATAAATCTGTTTCCAGTTACTCCATTACATAATCATTTAATGTTTGTTAACTCTTCGATTTATAATAACTAGTCTGGTTGTTCTGGAACTACCCCTTTCACAATGTAAGTCAATGAACAATCTAATATTTACCTCCTTTCAATGAATTGACCATATAGATTTGGTTATTGAGTATAATGATTATTAAGTTTATCAATTTTCATAGTCAAAACAATCTAGTACGAACTTTCTGTCTAGTGTTTTTTTTCTGGTTGTTTAATTAAGATCAGCTCATGATGTAAACCATAAAATCCAACAATCTACACAAACCCACTGTAGTGACTAATTAAACATGTGTCTACAATAGATAAGGTGTATTAGAACATTAGGGAAAGGACATAACTTTCAATCAATAGATTAGAAGTTCCAATCCTACTTCTTTCACTTTTATGACAAATGAGTAATAAGGCTAGTCTCAGTAACTCAATTAAGACTAAAAGCTAAGTACACAAACATGTATTCAGTAAAGTAAATTACATGTTTTACTTCAAAACCGAAACTTGTAAAACTCTAAACATCTCTAAATACAGGTTGATCTAACTTAATTGAGAATTTAAAAAAGTTATACCATTTATTTGGAGAAAATAAACAATATTAATGACTATTTATTAAAAAGAATTCAATTAAACTATTTTCACATAATACAATGATGTTTGTTTCTCCGAAACATTTCAATATGATACACTTATTAATATATTCTTTATCATTTCAAGATTTCTGTCAATAAATCTTCAGAAATTAATATATTGTTTATACTTTTAGGATAATACATATTGTTTAAAAGCGTGATACAACAAAAATATCCGTTTCTCATAGTTTAGAAATAATATTTAGATCATAATTATAAAGTTTCAAATACTGATGGTATACTATAGACATGAATTTTATAAGGTAATGTATACAAACTGGCTATTGTACATGGAGGATATGATTTATGACAATATTGCTTTATTTCTAGCTATCAAGATGAAACAGTTGAAAAATATAATGTACCCAACAATTGCATAAGACATCTGCTGCAGAGATTTTAATTATACAATATGTTACAATTTCATAGACAGTGGTACCGATAAACTTTAATTTTAAACGCAATGGCTTCATGAAAACTTTAAATTCTTTGATTTTATTCTTAGCATGGGTCAATTAGTGAATTTTTTAATTTGCTCCCCAATGTGCCAGAATTCCAAAATTGGGTACTGTTCAATTAATGTTGATTTTGTATGGATTTCCAGATTTTAAATTCCATTCACAACAAATATAATTAGTATAATTTACTTCTTAAATAACACACACAGAAAGAGATTTTCACATTATTAATTTAACTATCAACATAATATATATCACATGAAAAAACGTTTCTACAAAATATTTACATGGCTACTTAAAACATATTCAGTAGTTACGTTTCATATCTAAAATATAATTAACTTCTCGTAAAACAGACGATAACATTGTATGTACGTGATCAATGGGAAGGGACATACGATCCATATCAATAACCCGATGTTTAATTAAAACATGGAATTTTCCTTCTCACCCCACATAATATTTTATTATAAAAAGATGGTCATCCTATCATTATGAAGATCATCAGTTACTTGGAATCAAATTAGATGTTTCTAAAATACACTGAATTAATTGTAAGAATATGAAAGAAGTGAGCTCATGATTTGAAGGAAATACATTCTGTATTACTGTTTTAGCTAATAAGAGTACTTGGTATACACTTTCCCTCAATAACACTATGTGAATAGCTATGTAGTAACAGAATCTACTAATAAACTTGATAAAATTAAGTTAAATTCATTAAATTATCCTTCTCATTAAACTCCCAAAAGTAGTGAATACTATAAAACAAAATGATTGGCGTTCATACTAGTAAATGACCAGTCTAATTAGATAACATCAAGAACTAGCCTTATAGTAATGGTCTACCCAAAAAATTCATCTAAATATACTTACACAGTCGAATTCACGAGCCGATCACGCTAGACCACAGCTGAAACTCAGAAGCAGCGGACGGACATTTTGTCTTAGTGTGGGACTCCCCAGTGGTGCTCACACACTACTGGAACCCAGGACACTGGGTTTCACGTACGAACGCTTAATATATAGACCACTCAGCCTACATCCAACGGTGTTAAATTCTAACATCAATCAATCCATGATCTTCTGCAACCCTTCATTCATTGTTTGAGGTGGACGACTGTCTCCACCCGACAAGGATTGGACTTTACCGATCACGACTTCTCGGTATAGATCTAGGAAAGCCAACTGGAAGCTATTCACTAGTAAGCATATGATTATCATCAACATAAGGATTTGTGAAGATTATAGTATTTTGAGAGCTGAATTCACGAATCAATCTAGAACGAGACGGCCGTCCAATTCTTTCAGTTTTTCAATGGTGGTCTAACTTAGATCAACTCATGAAATCAACTGTAAAAAAATACTACAATCTCCACAAATCTTCATACTGATAAAATATACTTTTATGTAGTTTAGTTGGAATTAGATAAACAAATTAATTATGTTCTTCTACACCATCATTAATTTTGAAAAAATAAGATATATTTAAAATAGATCATAATTAAAGAATGGTGTACGAATTTGATAGAAAATTAAGGATTTACATAAACAGGACTATACGTATTAAATTTGCCTCGTTCATGAATACTGACAATAGCAAGTAATAGTATTGTTGATGATTAGTATCAATAGTCAAGTGGACTACTATCCAAAAATAAAAATACAACCCATCAATTTAGATAGACACATACTGTAGTTTGACCACCATAATAAACTCATCTGAATGCTTAACTTAGATTGGAGAAAAAAAAAGTTCAGTTTTTGACATAGCTTGCTAACGTTTATTTATATGTGAATAGTGCAAAAAGATATTTTAGCGAATTAGAAGTAAAAAAACTCAACAAGTAAATTAGTGTTAACAACGACGTCATTATTATCACCATTGACATCATCATCATCGTCACTATCATAGTGAATTCTATCCACATTGGTAGAGTAAAACTTACGATTCTTCATTCACTTCAAAAGATACACAATACTTTTCAGCAATATCTACAATCACAACTAAAATTCACTTAGCTGCATATTCTATTGTGATATATCTACACTTCTGTATGTGATTACGGCGTATGTATTAAAAGTAAAATGAAGAGAGAAAAATAAAAAAGTTATTTAACCAAGAATTACGACTTAAATAACCACAAGAGGTGAATGGAAATGGCACAGGTTAAATTCATCGAGATTATAAAAAGAAAAGACATTTAATAAATAGGACTAATTATCTGAATAACTGATGGTAAAACCCCAACCAACATGCCTACACACTGAAAAACAGAGAGAGAGAGAATTTGATAAAACTTAGAATTTATAATAGTAACATTCAAAGTTCTTCCATATAAGTTTGATAAGATCGAAAAGAATTCTTAATAATGACATAATGTAACATATGGTATGATTTTAAACAAACACCCAAATACATTTACGTTTAACTTATGATAGATAGTTTAAGGTTCCACATAGGAATTTAGTGAAAATGACAAAAATCAGTAGAATTCACACTAGTAAATGAAAAGTTTTCTTTCACTTGAGCGTAAAAGTTTTTCTTTTCTTTTTTTTTTTGTTTTTTAATTTGAGAAAAAACCAATCATGCTTAACTTAAAGATATCAAATAAATATTAGAGATACTACTTGTCAAATATGATGAATATTCAATGTAGAATTATCACCAACTGAACTAATCGTCAGTAAAAATAAAATCCTGAATCTGAATCTTGTAGACTTAAAAAAGCCCTGAGAAAATAAATAAAAATATAACCGTTATATCTCCTTATAATTAAAATACTACTACTGTTCAACTTATGTTTCAACAACGTTATAGTTGGACTTATATTATTATAATTTACTCATATTAATCAATAATAAATAGATTTTTTGATCAATGGATAGTTATAATGTTATTTTTAAGACATTCATGGAAACGTTTTGTATTGATTTCAATTATACATAGCATTGATTCATTACAAAATGAAATTTGACATGTTATTCAATACATTCGTTTTAATCATTTATATACCTCAATAATTCATTTTTGTAAACCATTACATATATCAATCATGTTGATATACAATAGAATACGTGAAAAAATGAAAATTTCATTTTCTAATTTTCTTGAATTAACCGAAAATTCCCGAAAACATAGTTGTACTTTTCTAAACAATAGTTGAATTGCGAATCAGCAGCCAAAATAAATTTCTGTACATTCAGCTCTAGGGTGACACCTACTTGGGATTTGCAGAATAACTTCAAGTGAAATAGCTTAGAATTATTCACTATGACCCAGATGTAATTACACATTATCTCCCTGTTTATTTGGAATCACAATATTCTTTCTTGAATACCCCTCCATTCTGTCTTTTCAAACAATATTCAAAATGTTCAGTCGTTCTGATTATCATTGCTATTATGATATTTAGAACTCCTTTGCATTTCACTCTCTTGATTTCCTCTCATCATGTTTTAAGAACTTGAATATGTTTGCCAAGCTCTACGTTAATGATGACTGACTAACATATTACGATTCAACAAACAGTTAGGTTTTTATCTTGAATAAATATGAACACACAATCTACTAGGAACTCAATTCGTAAATAAAATGGAAACTAACTTTTGCTGTGTGTATACACAGACGGCTAACCCATAGATAGGAAATATACACACGTAAATGAGTCTCCAATTCCGGTTGACAAAGTTGGTTCGCGATGTACATAGCAATCTGAAAAACAGAAAAGAAACCTGAAAAATATAATAAACAATAGAACTTAAGTAACAAATCAATAAAGCTTCAAAATTAACCATGTTTTTGATTCTTTTTTTCATACAATGAATTCCGCTTAAGAAGCTGAATTAAGCACAAATTATGGTTGTTGTAATATAAATTTCCTATTATTCCGTGCAATTTGGTCAAATTATAGAAATCCTAATTGAAAATATAAATTGTACTCATCAGACAAATACTGTGAATGCCTGAAAATATCAATGTTAGTTATAACACGATCTATACGTAAAGTAAGAAGCATTTGTGTGTTGTCTTAAACGATTTACAAACGTTGATAGTTATTAGTGGCATAATCTTATAAATGGACTATATTGAAATAATACAAAAGGAAATGATAATAAAATAAACCAGATCTCAAATTTTATCACACATAGGCATTTTTTAGTAAAATTGGATAAAGACAATTCTGCAATAGGTGTCACGCACATAAACGTTGCAACAAATTGATCTTTTCAAAGTTGAACTCACGAGTTATTCTGAGCCAGACCAAGACCTGAAAGCACTGGAATGTCGATGCGCACTGCTAGAGAGTCCCATACTGGGAGGAAACGACAGTTCAGTGCTTTCAGGTTTTCGATGGCGACCTAGTTTACTTTGACTCGTAAATTCAACTTTGAATATACTATAATCTCCACAAATCCCGTAAACTGACAAGTTGATCTATCAGACAAACTGTTTTGATCAGAAGATAAATTTAAAGTTTACAAAGCAAATGATTCCTGTAGTAATCCCAGATAAAAAGAGAGATAGGATTACAATACACAATAGTAATAATAATCTGAGAAAACATTTAGGAATATAGGCATTAGTGAAAGTATTAAGTTTACTTCAGTTCTCATTACTAAACCAAAGATGAAAATAAAACAATTCCATTTACAAAACATGTATATCTGTCACATTAAAAAACTGACAAAAATAAATGCTATGAAAGCCCATGACTTTATTGTAAATATATCTTCAAAAAGACTAGTAAATCAATTCATCCGTTAACCTGATCCTTATGTGTACATATTTCATAGTTGCTTCATCGATTCTAAATATTTAACAGTAGAATTTGTGTTCAAAAGTGAAATCAACTGATTTCTTTACAGTCATCTTGGAACACATCACTAATGATAATAATAGTAATGGTTTTAAAATGTCTAAACAAAAATACAACATGAATCAGAATAAGTATTACAACTCTACAATATTTTATGTGGTAAGAACGACAATGACAAATGCTTAAAACAATGTAAAATAATCACTATTCATTTTTCAAGCAATTAGTTGCATTAGTGCAAAAATGGAATTCCTTTTAATAAGTTAATTGGATAAAGAGAAAACAGAAGATTTTTTAGGTAACAAACTGACGTCAGATGAATAAACCTCGTAAACAAAATCGCTTTAAACATATGATTCATTAATAAACGCCACAAGACTTAAAAGTCCTTAACTTGATTTTTTTAATAAAGTATGAATGTTTACATTGGAAAAATTCCAAACTGAGAAGAAAAAACTGACCTGACCTCATTTATTTTCAATGGTTATCTCTACAGGAGTCAGTTCAAAATGTAGCTCTAAGCAAGAAAATGTATAAAATAACCTCTACAAGTTATTTTAAAACACTTTGTTTTCTTGATTTAGTTATACAACTAAGTTAAATTTATCACTATACAATCAAACATGATACAATATGGAAGTTTAGAAAGTACCACTTGAAAAAAATGTTGTATATATTAACACATAATGAAGCTTTAAATTCATTTCTTAATAAACAGTGAACTATTAATTGGAAATTTTTTATAATCCAAATTATAGTTCAATAAACAAATAACTTTGATTACTTGAGTTCCAGGGATAAATGGTGCATCATACCTTTTTAATTCATAAGTGAATTAATTACATTGACATTATTATTGTTATTATTACTATTATTTTAGTTGGTTAAGTTATTTACAGCTTTCGGTTTGCCATTGTCGAATTACATTTAACGTGTTACAAAAGAATTACACTATTTCCATACATGCACACACACATATACATACACAAATATACACATAAGTACAAATACAAATCATATTAATGTAATTTATTATCATAAATTATAATAATTCCTATAAAATATTAAAATATATTATTATTATTGTGAAAATAAAAGACAATTAATTAATTACGGTAATTACCGAAAAACAAAACTTAATTTAGATCAAATAATGTTAAGAATTTGATAGAAATTACATAATTAAAATAATTTATAGTTATATATGAATGATTTATTTAAGTGGATTAAATCAATTTTTAATAAAGAATTGAATCAGAAAACTAATAATAATTGATAAAGCAATAAACATATATTATAACATAATTTCAGACTATACAACACTAGATTCTAATGACTATATATATAAATATATGAAATCGGATATTGATTATTTATATCATACAATTGGTACTCTATGCTATTTATTTATAATGGATTAAATTCACTTATTTTGTATAATTCATTGAATAATGATATCAATGAGAATCAGTTAAACTAAATATCCTTTCTATGGTAAAATATATGTCATTTATCATCATAAAACTTTAATGGTTTTTGTAGTTATAATAACTTCTTAGTGTATTTTATGAAATTTTTTATAATAAATGTCCGTTTTTCTTCATTAATGATAAAACAATCTTTATGTTTACATGGTTCAGGATTGCAACAGCATCTATCCCGTCAATATTCTTTGAAATTATATCACCCTTTATATTGTACTTTGCATATATTTTACGTTTTACGCTGATCAGGAATACTCAGTTAACATGATTCATGAATCCCGCATGTTTACGTAAGTTATTTTTTTTGTATCATATCTTATATTATATCAAATAAAACTTGGTTGTAAATCAGTATATATTCTGTTAGCATTTTCACAATATATAAAAAAAACCAACGACTATACTGACGCGATAGAAAATGGATTTTAACTAAACCAATGGTATGCTAATTACAAAAACATTTATTATAAGAAATGAATGTTGGCCAGTTATGATGTTCATGGGGATTGTAGAAACAAGACGTAGAATTCCGTAAAAATAAGCACTGATTTGTATCCTTAAACCTCAAAACAAAAAATGGAACATTGATTCAAACGACGTTTAAAAGGATGAAGCACTCCAAACACGGTCTGAGTTTTGAAAAAATAGACCCGTCAACGCCAAAACACGGATGAAATATTTCGAATTTTATATAAATATAACATATGAAATGATGAATTCTTGATAAGTGAGTTATCATAGATGTCATGCGCAAACTCTATCAATTTATATGGATAAACAAAGCAAAAACTAACAGGAGAATTGGTAGAATATAATGTTATCATTTGATGTACTTGACCTGGAAAGATAATCAAAATCGGGCTACCTGAAAATGGTCATTGTAGAAATAACTTTAACCATTAATTACTAGAAAGTATGAGAAATTAAACCCTATTTACATCTAGCTGCATCAGAGTTTGCGAACTGATTTTGTGTGTATTTCTTTTGAATTCTTGTCTTTTTGTAAGCAATATCAACAAAGTATGGTATTACAGAGACAATAAAGCTATCTATACGCATAAACCGATCCTCTCGGAACGGGGATGTTTAACTTTTTAAAAATTACCTAAAGTAATAACAATTTGTAGCTTACAGTGAACAATCTTGAGCATATAATTTGACTTTGATCGGTAATTAGCTGAATAAACAGTGAGAATGATATTTGTATATCAGCCCAACATAATGTTTAGTAATTGGTCAGTGTCATTTTAAAATCTACTAATTATAGGTTAATAGATTTCACTTTACCCATAGGAAAAATAAACGAATTCATGAAAAATCCCTACATAAACAGTGTCTAATAAAACATATATAAAATGATGCAATTTCAAGTACAAGAAAATAATTTTATATTCAACTAACAAAATTTCATAACGTGAAATTATACTACTAAATAAAAGAACAGTAGGCATACAGTTTATTTAGAATCAATCACATGTACCGTTACGGTAAATTTCGTTACGTTAGTTTGACATAAAATGTCATCATTTGAATGATCGGAAAATAAATAACAATATGGCAGGTATATACTTATATTCAGATAGAGGTAAACTGAAATTTTCTGAAACATAATAAGATCTCTCACACCTGATTCATTATCCGCCCCCAAATGCCCTGGTACGGCCGAGAGTGGGGAGAGTCCGCTCTCCCTCTCGAAATGCTCTCACATGGCCACGCGTACATAGCCCCTGCCAGGGAAGTCCTACTCACTGCCTCCTCGTGGCGGGGGTGTTGTTTACGAAAATGAGAGGACGAAAAGCGAATTTCCGGCGCTTTAACCGGATCCCAAAACAATGGTGCACATGGGCTCTAGTATCCTGAAGGAACAAATGGCTTATGAACCAATCGTTGGTCACCGGCTACCATGGACTGCATCTCCTTACGATGCTCCACTGCCTTGTGGGTCAGACGTTCAGGTCGAAGGCTCGGGGTGTGGCCCCTTAAGAAAACCACGTGGTTCGGTTTGGACACCCGAGCAGTATCACAGCCCTCACACAAATCAATTGAGATTCGTGTGGCGCATATGTACTTGGTGCCTCCTTGTACCAATACCTATGTGTTAAAATAAATAAAAGATTCATTATTCAATATACATCACAGTTACTAAAATTAGAATAGGGGGAGAAATAAGTGAGACAGAATGAAGAACTGTTTGGTAAACTAAATGGAGTGCAGACATTCTTGATCCCTCGAAGAATTCATGTGAATAACCTTTGTAACCAAGATATACTTTCTAATATGAAAAAGAGGTTGAATAACATCCAATTTGATAGAATCTCACACAATCATATTCATTGACATTGGTTGACAAACAGATAAATTTACAGCTACAAGATAAACCTGAATCACTGTATTTACATATCTGTGTATCAGTTATCAGCCTCAAACAATCAGGCATCTCAGGATCCGATCTATATATAGAAAATACGTCCTTTATATTAAAACTTCTGCTACTGAAAATAAAGAAATTAATAAATACAGTGTACATTACTTTCGGTTACAAAGTAGAACCAGGTAGGTATGTACATCGGAGATGGAAATCCATGTGGTAAGGCGAAATGTAATATTTTTGGAAGCGACCCTTTTTAACACCTTTCTTCCGTTATGAAAAAGCAGCATCGCTGCAGATGCTGGTTGTCTGAGAGAAACAGCTTACCGCTGCTAAACCCCCCTTACGGTCAGTAGTACGAATACATTCTCGAATTTTCTGCCTTAACTTTACCGTTCTCCACACAACCTGCCTGGCATGATAGGATTTAAAGGAGCATATTTTCCAGCCAATATAGCCCAACTGATATGTAATTAATGCTGGCAATTTAAACTATAAGTCCTTAACTATAACTAGATTTTCATTTATTTGAATTCACGATTATTTTTAATTTGTAAAAAAATAACCAGGTTGTCGGAAATAATAAATTTATTTCCGTAATTCATTAAACTGCCTACATAATGCTGTATAGTGACGTAACTGTGTTTTATAGAAAAGAGCAAAACATTGGAAACAGTAAATGTTCGATTTCCGTAGAGTAGGAAATAGATAATTATTACGAACACAAATGAAATGCTTTCTTTACTAACATAGCATAATAAATCACTAGACAGTTTATATATACTATTTTAGAACAAATCAACATTATACACACTGAACTTCGTATAGGGTTTGATCACAAGGATTTCCAAGTCTTGTAACTAGCACACTAACATTCAGTAATCACTGTTTCGGGTTGAAATGGTTCACATATATTAATGCTAGTTAATTATGACTCGAAATTACGTCTTAGAAAGACATTTACACAAAAAACAAAGATATTCATGGAAAATTTGATGGAACCTTTATGACAAATTGATTATTATCAATTACTAAACGACTATAAAAAGTAACAATGTATTTTGTACACCTCATAGGTGAACGCGTAGAAACATTTCTGCAATACAGAAACAGGTTAACCCACAGGAAATAATAAAAATAAACGAAACTCACATCATGTGTTCGAATAGAGTAGTTCCCTGGTTTTGTCCCCCCAACAGAATTGTTATTATTATCCTTGAAATGTTTGTTTGATATAAACACCGTGGACAGAGGACATGTGAAAGCAGTCAATGCTGCCATAGCGTGTTCACGAATATCGTCTAAGCGATTAATATCAGCATCTAAGATGATTAAAATTTGAAAAAGCATTGAAGTTTATCTTGTAAAGACTGATATTTACGCGTTTATAACTCAGGACTGTAATTGATCAGTCTATATTGGTATATATCCACCCTGATATTGTCATTTAGTTACAAATTATGATAAAATTTAGACATTGGCTAATAGTAGGTACAAGGATATACGTTACGTCCTATTAAGAGAACGCGTTGTCATTTAAGGAGAACGGTACTGGGTTTTAGTCTCAGTGTGTATATCTATCTCATGAATCTTTTAAATAAGATAAATCGCACATTCTGGATTTCATTCCTAGCTCACTATCCAACTTTAGCAAAATCTTATTTTAACATTAGCATAATTTTGAGTTTATTAACTAATGTAATAGGGATAAGAAACAATTTCGACAAACTAATCAATAATAACGACTATTAATTTACAACGATGAGCTGTACCCATTTCAAACCAATGGTTAACAATAATCAATTCTTTTAAATCGATGAAATTTTTTTTCAATCGAAAAAATATGAAATATTTGTTTTGATATTCAGAAACTTATTCAATGGTTAAAGAAATTTGCTTTGATACAGTTGACTGTGTTAAACTTAAATTACTGTTATTAAAATTCCATTGAATTAATTAACACTATTTCAACATATCTATACAAAATGCAAGTACCTAACCGTAGCTGCTATCTTGACGTGGTGGACGGGATTGCCTATCGTGATGACCCAAACCGAGCAATATTGGCTGGAACATATGCTCCTGCATGTTCTACCACGCCAGGCAGGTCGATTAGAGAACGGTAAGACTAAAAGTAACAACCCAACATCTGAGGGCAAAGTCGTACTGCTGACTGTAGAGGGGTGTGACAGCAGTAAGGTGTTTCCCTTAGGCAACCAGCATCTGCGGCGATGCCGCCTTCTCACAAGGAAGGAAGGGGTTAATAAAGGTCGGCCACAAAAAAGGTCACGCCTCACCTTACCTCATGTATTTCCGTCTCAGGCGGTAAGGCCCTTTGAAGAACGGAGCTAACACGTTTGAAACCTCCCACATAAAGGCCGTGCGAAACCGGCCTCAAGCAGTTATCCCCTGGGCTTTGAAATCACGCTCCTAGGTCGTTAAGACCAACATTAATCTAACTTCTTTTTCAGGTTCGTCAAGAAACACCCTTCAACAATTTGGGCAGCCGGGAAGTGATATCAGCCCTCATACCCCTAACAGCACACGAGACCAATATGGTCACTGACTGACATATTACAGAAAAACATTTAGATTGTGAAATTGGTGGAATGTATGTAAGTTTATGAGTAACAAATATTATACAGAACAATTTCATGGCCCTAATTTCATTGGTTAATTAAATGTTCACTATAATTTGTTTTGATTGATATACATATTATTCAATCAGGCATATAAAATTATTCATTTTATACAATGTTAGAACTTAATTTTGACAATATATTGTTGACTTTATAACACTGAATGAAGGTTCGTAATTTAAACTGGTTTTTGTTAATTGTAGAACAATTATGTAAGTTATACATTAAAAGACGCTAAAACTCATTTTTGTTAATTCACGTGAAAGTAACATAATATTACAAATCTGTAAATGGAAATATGTTAGATAATTATGGTTCCGATGGTATGAAATACATTAAAGACATTTTTATCGCTGATTATTATTCACTGAAGCGTTTACTACCATGAACGTATCAGTATATTCACTTGAATCATATTTTAGATAAAAAAGAATCGTTTTTAATTGTCACATTTAATAGTAAGTTAATTCAAAATGTAAACAGTATCTAACATTAGATGACTTATCAAAGTGAGTTTCATGATGTACAGTTACGTGACTATCGATCAATCCGATAACTTCGTCGCCTCTGACTTGGTTTCATTTCGAGATAATTAGAGCTTTAGGAGATCTATTTCGAAGCTTACCATTACAAAGCCTAAGATTATTATTTTCCTATGTGGTTTTATAGAGATTAGTTATAAATCGAAAACAATCTCTTAGTGTTATTTGGTGGCTGGAAACTAACAGAAGAAAGCCCTAAATCTTCGTTCTGTGCTAGATGGGACTCGTCAGTAGGCAGTATCTGCAATCTAAAGAGAATTGATATTTGTGTGATTCGGACCACAATCACTTGGTGTAACAGTCAGTGACGTTATCACTAGCTTTTGAACAAAAACCGACTTCCTTTAGGACTCAGATATACACGCTAATTAGTAATCATTAACACACATAATAACAATGTATAGTTCATGTAATATCAAGTAACTTGGACTAGTGACCATACTGAAACGTGATCGGTAGGGTTTGATCAGCAATAAGTACTAGACAAACGTGATATCATTCTCGTTGACCGCTGGACTTCGTGAATATTGTCTCAATTGCATAGTGTTGTCTATTTAAAAGCAAATGTTCTGTCTCACAATATATTTAGAATTATTTAATTACATGTAAATGGATACAAAATATCAGTGTAGTTAGGCGTAAAACACCTGGTTGAGGTCAAATCGCTAATCGTAAGAAATGGTTGGAACCTTTGGATAACATAAGTTAAAATCGTTCGTAATCAGGCAGATGTTTTACTTTTTGTCTTCGCCTAGATCTTGAACTTCTTAACTGTCTCAAAAAAATTTTATTCCATAAATCTTTTTTTTCTAGAATCACATCTTTTATGCCTATTCCTTTGTACTACAACTAATACTGTTAATACTCATACTACTCTGAAATTTGTGAGCTAATATGGTATGGAAACTTGAAGTGATTGACATATATACCACACTTTACGTTTCACATGTTTGGCTGACTGAACGACTGACTGAAATGTACATAAATCGATGGATAAACTTACCAACTATACTATACCGACTGACGGATGGCATCAATACTAGTGTTTTTATAGTTTGAAGATGATGTTTCTTTAATTCACTGAAAAATTCCTCAACAACTGCAGATGGCCTCTCAACCATACGTTCAATTAAATAACGAATACACTAAATAAATGGTAAAAGATATAATAGAAATATTTCACAAAAATTTAATATAATAAACTATCAATAATATAAACGATACTATTTATTCTTAAAGAGATATAAAATTGAGCTTTCGAAAATAAGCTAACATTTTGATCAGTTTGTCTGACTGTATTTAAAATAGAGCTTGATATAACAACAGTACCTTAGCTCAAGGTTTATTTTGTCATTAATACAGTGAAATACGATAAACAGGATAAAAATTTGTCTAGAATCTCGAATTTTAAATAAAAATTCATAACAAATCAATTACTTAGTTTCTGTGTCATTTCAGATAAGTGGATCAGGGTAGAGATTAGTAAGTCAGTTATAGTGGTAAGTTGAATCCAACTTGAACCCAATAGACGATATAGTATCTTATGGCCCTGATAGATAAAAAGTAGGTAAATCAAAGAAAATTACATAAACTTGTATAAGACAATACACGAATAGCTTTAACTGTAAGAGATGGGTTATTTTCATCTTATAGACAAAATTGAATTATTAACAAAGTTTTAACTTAAAGCAATCAATATTCCTAACTAAGACGTTCGTCAAAATAATGCAGAAAATGTTCTGTTCAAGAAAAAGAATATACAATGTCAGATTATAATGTTGAAATTAACTGGAAAAATAATTGCTAAATCATTCAAAACATACACTAAGACTGATTGACAACTGATCAAAACAGTACACATTGAAAAACCAGTTTCGCCCTTTTGTTTTCACAGAAAAATAAATTATCATTTTTCTAATCAACAATAATAACTCACTAGTAGAGTTTGATCACGTAAGTGCAATTCTTTGTCACAATCCTGATTCACTAATCTCGGTACAAGCTCAATAAAACAAAGGGCATGTTCTGTGTAACTTTGTAAGCTATAAATAATCAAACACTTTACAAATTAACTATAATAATATTAGTAATAGTAATAAGCCACTGATGGAAACCAGCGAAACAGTAAAGACTAAAATAAATTTAACTTAATTAAAACAGTTTACGAATATTCGATGTGATTATGCACAAAAAAGGTGAAGATTATTGTGTACGTTACCCATATATTCATATATATATTGAATGTTTGATGTTCACTTTTAATCACACTCTGATGATCAAATATGCGTTGACATTGATGAGTTGAGAAGTTCAACACTGTTCTGAAATCTATTTAAGCACTAATAACAGATATCTAAGAGTAGAAAGCATAAGACCAACGTCTTTGACCAATTAATACAAGGCAGTACTTATAAAAACGATCTTTTGTGAAAACGTTTTTTTTGAAAACTAATGGAGAGAAACACTGGGTCCAGTCTTTAGGCCTGCTGACAATCGTCATCAAGGCATATTTGAGATCTTACAAGACAATATTCGAACGTAAGTTGTTTGATATCATAGTAAAAGTCAATACAGTTAAGCTATTCATGACGCGTATGGCATAATTTAGGACTGAGATATGCTATATGGAACTGGTTACTATTAGTTGATCAATCACTATGTTGCACTCAACTTTAGGGTTAACCATCATGGAATCATTCAACATAAATTCTTATAACACTGAGAATGAGAATGTTGCCAATATAAAGATTTGCAATAAATTTTTGACTAGGACGATAAACCAATCAATAATAAACCTGGTTAAGCTGTGTGATTATCTTAATGTATAACGCGGTTAAGACAAATCAATAAATTTTTAGTCACAAGATTTAAATACTATGTTAACGTACTTATAATGAACGTCTAGTAATGTACATGAGTGTGTATGTACTAGTGCGTGCATCCTTTTTTAAAGAAATTTACAAAATCAAATATACTTCTTCATAAACAAAATAATTTGTTTACAATTTTTGATTAGTTTCTTATTTATTTCACAAAATTAACTATCTATTCTAGAAGATCACTGTGTTTTGGATCGATTAATGTAAGGAACACATGATTTTTCTAAAAAATGCCGCCGTTGAGACTCAAAGTCGTTTACATTTTAGAAATATAATAGAGAAGCTGTATCCAAAACGAAATGTTGTGGATTCCACAATTATATTCGACATATGCAAACAATCTGAACTACCAACACCTGTAAGCGAATAAATTAAGAAGAGGGTATTGTGGAGATTTCGGTAATTGAATAGTTGAATTCATGAGTCAATAAAAGCTAAACCACCATGGGAAGCCTGTAAGAACTGGATGACCGTTTCGTCTTAGTATGGGACTCCTCAGCAATGCGCATCCACGATCCTGCATGCGGGATTCGCACCCAGGTTTTCCATGTCGGTCTACCTTCAAACGACTCATGAATTCAACTATTAAATCACTGCCATTTCGCGAGACTACTTTCTGATAATAATCATCATGTGTTCAATAGTGACCGGCTTCAAGAGGTATTTTCTGGGGTTCTAGTGAGAAGCCGTGACTAATGGATTTCAACCGAATCTGTTGTGAGATAGTAACTCACTGATGACAATGGTGAATGCGTCGCTCAATTTTGTGGATTAGTTGAAGTTAGTCATTAACACCGTTGGATGCCGGCCAGCTCAGTGGTCTAGAGGTTAAGTGTTCGTGAGCGAGACCGATAAATCCTGGGTTCGAATCCCACGGGGCGGGATAATCAAGGCACATTGTAAACAGACTTAAGCCAGACTCAGTAATGTAAAGGCTCTGGGCTCGATCTCTGGAGTTATGGGTGCATAGTACAGAGAAATCCTGAAGGCTAGGATGAAACAATTATCCATTGCACTTTGCTTTTCAATGATTTCCCAGTTTATGATAAAGTCTGGTAAAAAAATGACTTCAATAAAACACAATTTTACTTCAACTTACACTGAATGTGGAATATTTTGTCTTTGACCAATTTCACTCACAAAATAGGCGTTCATTGCAATAATTATATCGAGAAGAATTTGTTCATACCACATTTTCTAATTTAAAATAAAGCAAGAAATTCCAGACAATAAAAGGTTATCTATAAATCCAACAAATGTGTTACTAGTTACATCTATCGTTTGTCGTGTGTCATACTTCATGTAAAGAGATCCCTGATAATGTTTTCCAGAATGAACGAAAATTCCGCAACTGAACCATCCATCTGAAAGGAAACAATACAACCAAAAGCATCCACCTGACCTACAAATCTTCTTCAATACTAGTTACTGCCTAATTTAGTTCGATATATCTTGAAAAAACCGAATAAATTCTAGTTCAGCAATCACTGAGGAACTTTCAGTTTAAACTAACTGTTTTTAAAGATGAAATAAAAGAAAGATGAACAATTTTGAAGTGAAAAAATGTAAAAAATCATAACTACTTGTCCTGGATCTTTAAAATAATGTTTAACACAACAACAATAAAAACTTATATACAACTGGAGGGTGTGGACTTTTCGAAATTGAAACGGATAGACGAATAACAGTATTTAATGCATCCCAGGTTCCCTTTATTTTATGTTATGAATCATATCCATGTGTCGCGTTCACAAAACCGACAGAAACAGCATAAATGAACGGTTGATCGACAAATATGTACAAAATATTTAAAAATGTAAAATATTGTTAACCAATCACTGTCAGGACAATGGAATCCCAGTGATTTATGAGAAATATGAGGTTGGAGACAGTTCCAGTGATGGAAAGGGTTCCATTACAAAATTCAAACTTCTATCTCATCTTAATAAATACTTATCATATAAATAACCTTGTTTTTCAGTAGACAATAACATACTGAATAGATTTGAGTGACGTAAATAAGACTGTTGAAATCCTAGTAACCAGAGTACTACTCGTGAACAACACAATTTTTAATAACTTCCAGTGATTTGCTAAAATGGATTCGCTAACATTAGTGGGTATAAATTTCCTTATCCAAATGTTTACAGCTAAAGATGGTGGATGACCACTGGCTTGAAATAAGCGATTAATTTTTTCAATCCATGAAACTAGTTTTACTTTATAGTACATGTTTATTGGTAAGAATCTAACCTATATAGACATGAAAGTTAAACAAGTCAGATGAATACGGGATTAGGTATTTTCTGGAACAGATGACTATGTAAGAAATATGTGTTATAGTCATTTTTCCCAAGTGTTTTTTTAATTTAAAAGATAGTTGAATAAGATAGATAGAAATTCTGAACTGTAACTGCAAGATTTGATATAGTCTGATTTACTTGTCACACAAACGCACTAGAGGTATGACGAGAAACAAGTCCGAAAATATTCGCATATAAATATGGCATCATGCCATGAATTCACTCGGGTTACGGGAAGAATGTGTTTGAACATTGGAAACCAGTAATGAAAAGAAGGATAAAATGATGAAATGAATAATCTAAACCAATTAGGTTGTGTCTTACAGTAAATAATATTAACGCTGAGAGCCGTAAACGATCCTAATAAGTAACCATATAAAATCGCGTGAATTGGTCTATGCATTAAATCATAAGTGACTGATTGGTTCGTAATCACTGTTCTATGGTTAAGACACAGAGAACTCAATATTGAAACTAGCTGGTGAATGACTGTCCCCATTCAACTAACAAGTCAAAACAGAAAAATTATATCACACTGAAAATTCAAGCTTATGGACACTGAATAACCAGAAAAACACCATGCCATTTAATACATGCAACTCATATACAAATCACGTGTCTAGTACACTTTAATTAGTCTTTCAGTCAAAACCACCTGATAAAAATAACAGTAATGTATAGTTCATCCTTGAAAAAAATATGTTATTAATGTCTTACCTCATGTAATTTCGTAAAATTTAGAAATGATTGCATTAGTTTAATCAATTGCACCGGTAACTCGGTCACTTCACAAAACCGTACAATAATCGAAACATCGCTGAAATGAGAAGGTATATAATACAGAAAACAGATTCAAAGAATTATTTTCTTTTCTACAAAAAAATAATTAGATACTATGAACAAGATGATAAACATACAATTTATGAGAATAATAAGCAAACATATTCAGTATTAAACCTGAATGACGTAAATTTGAACACTTTCACCATTCAATGGCGAATTGCATAAATGTTAAGAATGCTTATCATGTACATCAAACTTATGCATCGCAGCTGATGAACGCTTCATTAATAAACTATTAAAATGACACGAACAATATAAGTGTTAGCGGAATATAGATTGGACTAAAGTACGTTCCGTGCAGGATTATTTTAGGGTACGCTGATTGGCTATTTCTTATATAATCAGCGCTAGGGTATACTTGGAGAAGGCTTTAGAATCTTCTTATGTAAAAACTATAAATATACTAACATTTCCCCGACCGTTGTTGCTACCTTGACGTTGTGGTCGGGCTTGCCTATCGTGATGAAGCAACCGAACTATACTGGCTGGAACAACCATTCCTCAAGGTCCTACCATGCCAGACAGGTCGGTTGAAGAGCGGTAAGACTAAAAGCAACAAATCCAAGGTCCGAAGGCGAAGTCGTACTGCTGACTGTACAGAGGTGTGACGGCAGCAAGGTGTTTCCTTCAGGCAACCAGCATAACAGCGATGTTGCCTTCCCACAATGAGGGGTGGGGTTAGAAAAAGTCGACCTTAAAAATGCACACCTCGCCTTATCCCACGGATATCCGTCTCCGGCGGTAAGGTCTCAACAAGTACGGAGCTAACACAAAAACTACTCATAAAAAGGTCGTGTGTGACCGACCTCAAGCAGCTGTCCCTTGAGCACTGTGGTCACGCTCTCAGGTCACTATGACCACCTCTAACCCAATTTCCTTTTCAGGTACCTCCAGAAGAACCCTTCAATGGTGTGGGCAGCTGGGAAGTGATAACCGCCCTCATACCTCTAACAGCACTCAAGACCACTGTATTCATAATCAACCTCCCTCTTCAATTCCTATTATTCCTCCTACATCGACTTTCAAATCTAAGCTTCCTCTTTTGGTTTCCTCCTCAAGTGTCACCATAGCCAACGATTCTAGTGCGCAAAACACTGTCCCAGGTCTACTGAAACCTCGCTCCAAACTACACATTGGAGCCTTCAACGTACGCACACTATGCCAAATCGGTCAGCAGGCTTCCTTGGCTAAAACCTTGGAATCTCGTACGATTGATGTATGCTGTGTCTCCGAAACACACATACAGGATCCTAGCGTGGTCATTCACTTGACCACACCTCGGTCAAAAAAAGAGCCGACGCGATACACCCTCCGTGTATCTGGCGACCCGACGGCTAGTTCTCGTGGACTGGCAGGTGTAGGCATAGCACTAAGCATGAGGGCGGAACAAGCGCTATTAGAGTGGATCCCCGTTAATAGTCGTCTATGCGCTGTTCGGCTAAACGGCTCCGTAAGAACTCGAAAGGATAGGGACACACGTCGTTGCCTTTTCGTCGTTTCTGCCTACGCTCCCACTGACTGCAGTTCGGATGAAGTGAAAGATGAATTTTACAGAAAACTCTCTGAACTTCTTCAGAAAGCTAAACGTTCAGATATAGTACTCGTAGCAGGCGACTTTAATGCCCAGGTAGGTAGCTTAAACGAAACAGAAAGACATTTAGGTGGGTATTTTAGTATTCCGGCAGAGAGAACAGATGATGGTGATCGTCTGCTGCAACTTTGCTCAGACGATCGTTTATTTTTAGCAAACACAAATTTTAAGCATAAGGAGAGACATCGTCTAACATGGCGACCCCCTGCACCGAATCAACGATGGACTCAAATAGACCATATTGCCATCAGTCATCGTTGGAGAGGGTCGATAGAAGATTGTCGCTCATTCTGGAGTACCTGTTTAGACTCCGACCATGCCCTAATACGAGCACGCATCTGCCTGCGCCTCACTGGACGCAAAAAAGCCACACTAAAAAGACCCATTAGAACTGAACTGAGTAACGAGAAAACCAAAAGTAGGTTCCAAGAACAACTGAGGTCACACTTAGGTAGTTCTGAAAACGAGGCTGACCCAGATGTTGCTTGGAAAGATATACAATCAGCTTTGGAAACAGCAGTGACATCTATTAGTAATTCAAACCACAGGGTTACAAAGAACTAATTGATTTCTTCAGGGTCTATTGCACTGATGGATTTTCGTAAACTCATCCCATCAGGCTCTGAACATGATGAAGAGCTGAAACAAATCAGATCAAGGTTAAGCAAAAGTCTAAGGAACGACCGTGAGCAGTGGTGGGTAACGAAAGCAAAAGAGATGGAAAAGGCGGCGGCTATGGGGAACACAAGACAAGTCTACAGACTAATAAAAGAAACTGGAATGAATAAGTCAAGTGTAAGTGAGACTATCCCGGAAAAAAAAGACACTCTCATCTGCTCCCAGTTCAGACGTTTAGAACGATGGGCGGGACATTTTAGAGAACAGTTCACCTGGCATTCAGCTACTCTACAACTACCCACCATTCCCAGACAATGTGAATAGAACATTGAAGTAGGTCCTCCAACTCTAGCTGAAGTTCAAAAGGCTATAGTTAATCTAGAAGGAGGAAGGGCAGCTGGTCCAGATGGATTGGCTCCAGAGGTCTTTAAGGATGGTGGTCCAATTTTAGCGACTAGGGTGACTAATATTTTAGTTAAAATCTGGGAGTTGGACATAATTCCCTCTGACTGGTCACAATCACTTATCGTCCCAATATTTAAGAAAGGGTCAAAATCATCCTGTGACAACCATAAAGGGATTAGTTTAACTAATATAGTATCTAAAATACTAGCCTCGATAATTATAGGACGCCTAACTAAGACTCGTGAACTGTAAACACGAGAGAATCAAGCTGGCTTCAGACCTCGTCGTGGATGCATCGACCACATATTCACCATTCGTCAGGTTCTAGAACACAGGCATACTTATCGGCGTCCGACAATGGTGGTATTTCTTGACTTAGAAGCAGCATTTGACTCTGTAGACCGAGAGGTTTTATGGCAGTGTTTGCCATTGAAAGGCGTACCTCAGAAGTACATAAACCCTGTGAAGGCTCTTTACTCGAACACTACTAGTTGAGTCAGAGCTAATAGCGAACTGTCATCTGCTTTTGCAACCTCAAGTGGTGTACGTCAAGGCTGTTCACTTTCTCCATTTTTGTTTAACTTCATCATAAACCTACTGATGGAAATAACGCTCACGTTTACTGAATTTTCGGGCATCGATCTCCCACCAGGAGGTCCAATTATCGACTTAGAATACGCAGATGATATAGTCCTGTTTGGTGAAGACGCTGATAAAATGCAGAGTCTTTTGGTAGCACTGAGCAACAATGCCAGGATGTTTGGGATGCGCTTCTCTCCCTCTAAATGCAAGTTGTTGCTTCAGGACTGGTCTGCGTCAACATCTGAACTAAGGATAGGAAGTGAAGTAGTCGAACGTGTTGACAACTTCCCTTATCTTGGAAGTCTGATCTGCCCTAATGTATTGGTGTCTGACGAAATCTCAGCACGGATTCGAAGAGCTCGTTTGGCTTTTGCCAACTTACGTCACCTATGGCGAAGGCCAGATATTCGTCTATCAATTAAGAGTCCAGTTCGTTCCGTTCTACCATACGGCTGCGAAACTTGGCCATTAAGAGTAGAAGATACTCGTAAGTTACTAGTATTTGACCACAGATGCCTTAGAAATATTGCGGGTATCTGCTGGGATCACCGGGTTAGTAATAGTGTGGTTAGACACAGGGTATTAGGGAATGATGGTAAATCAATTGATGAGGTTATGAATCTTCATCGACTGAGATGGTTGGGCCACGTATTGCGTATGCCTGAACACCGATTACCACGACGCGCAATGCTCACTGGTGTTAGGGATAATTGAAAGAAAGTTAGAGTCAGCCAAACCAAAACGTGGCATCAGTGCTTGAAGTCAATAACTTCTGGACTGAGCCATGTTGGTAGATGCAGACTACCTGGTTGGGGTCCGCGTGACTATCGTAACCAATGGTTGGAGACTCTTGGTGACATGGCTCAGAATCGATCACAATGGCTTAGGTGTATACACTCTCTGTCTTCCTTTAAACTAAGAGAATAAAATCGCTTCATATCTTTCTTTCTAGGAACTAATTCTTTCTTCCTGTACTATCTCCTTATATGCAATCTTTCTTCTATATATTACCACCACTTAATTAACTACTTCTATGAATCCGGTGTTCATCTTGTTGTGCTAATGCGGTATGGCAACTTGGACCAATGCAAGAAACTTTGAATAATGTGGTAGAATGAAAAGAATGATAGGATAACTAAAAAATGCCAATTTTCAATGATTATGTAAGAAACACAACTATCCAAAAACCAATCAATATCTTATAATCATATTCTGTCATTTTTACTTCGAGATATAACTGATAATCTCCCATTTATCATTCAAATGAGTTTTTCACCCTATTTTTAACTTCAACATTTTGTAGTTATCTGTTTCTAAACTCAAGATTAGTCTTAATTAATATATGGAATACCTGAATGAATGTTTCATATTTGCATTATGATTACATTTTGAGTAGTAGTTAGCAGTGAAATTCAAAACGAACACCTTGTCCCATTAAGAAATTGGTAGATGAATATCTTTTGTCTTTAAGCCCGGCTAATTATCACGTAATTTATTTGCCAGTCAAAATGCGACTTATACAATCTTAGTACTGTGCCAAACCAATGACGTCCGACTCGTATGGGTAGCCTAACGTCCTTATTGATCCTTTGTTCTCTTAGCCCTTTCAGTTGAGTCCAGAACACCAATAAGTTTCCACTATACGAATCATTTATTTCAAACATACATTTTATATACCAGCCAAACAGATCGCATCAAACCTTTAAATAGGAAATAACATTTATACAAGTTCAAACCAAAAAGTGGCTGTGAACGTGAGAGGCTGTAATCAATAAACTAAACATAACTTAAGAACAATAAATCGTTTAATAATAATCTATAGGCCAAAATGCAGCTTATAATAAGAGGAATATAGATATACATAATCTAGTTACTAAATAAGAATATATTTATAATATAAGTCTATTATTATCTGTCAGACGTTACCCGTAATTTAATCTTCATTAGAATATAACATAATATACTTGTATCCTATTGTTGATGCCAACAATGTGTGACTTAAGTTGATTACTTACTTTTTATTTTTAAAGTATTACATATGAATTAATTTACATGATTCTCATGTATTAGCTTATTTAAACAAAATATCTCATTTTAAACAAAACAAACAACAAAATCTTGTTTTCAATATAATATGAATAAATGAATTTTTTTGTTTTATTTTCGCGTAACATTTTAAATTTTAAGTGATTTATTTAGTGTATATTGATTATTAATCAGTTTTTATTAAACATAAAAATCGATAAAATTTTATTGATTTTCAAATTCATGATATAATCACTTTATATCATACTGATTTATTTATTCATACACCTACCTAAATACGAACACAAATATGTGTAAACTTATTAGTGATAAGTTAGTTTCTTTATATGTTTTTTTCTATGCATAATAAAGCATAAAGATAGAAAATAGTTAAACAGTAAGTATGTTCTGTTGAATGTATATGTGTTGTTATAATATAATTTAAAGCAATTAGTCCCTTTGATAAATTTCGATAATGTAATAAGAAGACGAAGATTATCAGAACTATGTGATATATTAGAGCAATATATTTCAAACAATCTGATCACATATATACTTGTTAAGAACATTTATATATGAAAATAAAAGATCAACTAGACTAGTCTCCTCTTACCATTCATTTCTAGTATATGTGTAATCAGATTGTTCGAAATGTATTGTGTTAATATATCACATAGTTCTGATAATTTTCGTCTTCTTATTGCATTATAATATAACTATTAAACTATTCTTTAAATTTGCTTAAAAATCACCAAGTGTTACATCATCATTACACATCAATTCATTATTTATTGTGTGATGTGGAAAAGTTGACAAACATAATTTTGGACATTATAAATAACGAAGTGACAATCTGAGATTATAGACAATTTACTAGTAGGTAAATATATTGAGAGATTTTAATCATGGAATTATTTTCCGGGGTCAGTGTGATCATCAAATTTTATCAGATCAATAACAAAGTCAAACTAGTGAGTCGTACAATCATGGTAATTAGGTTTACTACAAACAATAATTTGATAATGAAAACTAAATACTAAAGATTTACTCTGAAAGCCGTATTTTACTAAATAAGTAGTTTTTTGATTGACCATATTATTCATGCCATCGAAAAAGCTTAGAAATGAGAGGTTATTAGATCTCCTAAAGTTCCCTAGTGTAGAATAGTTATTCTTGGGATGTTTTCATAGAGCAAACTGAGATATTTTCACATTAGGGAATTCGATGTCAATGTAAGATGAATTGTTTATACTTAGCCAAATGAAAAGGCTGTGGTAAATATAAACAGAGAACATATGTTTATTGGAAAGAATTGAAAAACAAAGTGGCTTCCGTAAACTCCCTCTTAAATGACTTGACACTTCGATTAAAAAATCTTGAAGGTTGTTGTCTGCTTTCAGTGACTATGCTTTCATTGCTTAAATATATGAATTTTGTTTTCATTCGCAACAATCTGAGGCCCAAATTATATTCACTGTGTGATTAGTCTCTAGGGGAGGGTTACAAACTGAAGATTAATTTAAAGGCCAAACCTCTAGAATGTTTTATAAGATCTCTCTGGGTTGTAACTTTAAGTATTTAAACTATATGCATGTATATGGGATGGTCAAAAGACAAAATGAGAGCTTCTACACAACAAAAAGTGAGGCATAGTATAATGCAAGGTGAAAAGCTTGGTTCAATAGAATAGATGTCACATCTACAGTTTCATTCAAGAAAATAGAATAAAAGCCTTATTGTACTCACCATTTGACAGTAATTAGATTTGTAACTAGGCGAAGTAAAGTCCTTAAATAAGCAGCTGCTTCGAGTCCGGATACTACATCACCTGATGACTCTTTCGATACAGCTGTTCCAGCAGAAACTGGACGGATATGATCTTTCGGAGAAGGATTTTCAGCTAAAGCTGACGCCCACGAGTGAATAGACTCCCATGCAGCCCTTTCATCAATAACTGAAGCCGATGCCAATCTCAATGACAGCCGTTGACCAAATTCACTGTCACAAAGTAAACTTAATGCTGTTCTTCGCTTCGGTTGTCTGATTTCTATAGAATGTCGAGGATTTTCTGTCTCACAACCAGGTGGATGGGGAAACTCAATATCTGTAGCATCAGCTAAACGTTCCCAGGCTTCTGCACTAGCTCTTAACCACCAACCAGTATACTTTACTGAATGACTTGATTTTGACACTGAATCAAATGTATCAAGCGAATTTTGTTTTTTAACCGTTAAATGAAAATGTTCTGTATAATTTTTTTCTACTGATTGATCTTTCGGTGTATTATCAACCTGAAAAAAGTTAAATTAGTATGAAATTCTGTGACTTAAAAACTGAACATCATTACCTCAAACAATTGAAAAATGACCAAAAATTTAAATTAAAACAGTAAACCGGGGTTCACTGAATAAGCATTGTAGTCTTTTTTGAAAATTTGAAGAAAAATGGTATTTTTTCCTGATCATTCAATGACAATCAAAATATTTAGTACTTAACATGTTTTACCATAAATGTAAAAAATACATTCATCTTAGAAAATTTCTAATTGAGAAAAACAAGCATTATTTAGTTACCAAGATTAATCGTTTAGATAATCCGATAGGAATTTGTTTGACTATGATAACGGATAATGAGATATTTCTTTATTGTTCTTAGGATGTGAATACAAGTGATTAGTGAATTCATAAAATCCAATTTAATAAGGTTATGGTACAATAAACTTGTACACAAACAAAGTATTATAACAGTTAGAAAAAATTGTGGTTGATGTCACAAAATAATGCAATGGATTTCATTCGTTTTATACCAGAATGGCCAGTGTGGAACTGCTTTAGCACCCTTGATCGTAGGGATTCTGGCACCACCACTCTATCTCTAAACATCAAGCATTCATTCACGATAAATAATGAGTCTCGACGGTGGCAAAGCTGCTGATGTCACCATCAAGTCCAGCTGATGGCCAGCCATTGGTGACGTAGTTCATCGTTCTTTTACTGATAGAGCGTTTCTGGAGGCATTTCGTATCTCAGATGCTGAGACTGGAAAGGCACGAACATTAGTTGCCAGGTAACAATGCGCGTAATGTTCTGTCATAAGGGAGGCAATAACGACACCGCTGATAAGTCATGACAGGGCGTCTGCCTGACCGAACCGTTGGGTGCACCGATACTGAATGTCAAAATCAGAACCCAAAAGTATCAAAGCCCATCGCTGGAGACGGTTTGTATAGTGGGCTGGAACACCAGATTTCGAGCCGAAAAATTGTGAGCAGCTTGTGATCAGTGAGAAGAGTAAATCTTCGACTGTACAAGATTTTGTGGAAACGGCGTACTGCAAACACAAGAGCGGGAGCCCCTTTCTCTATTTGGCTGTACTTCCTTTCTGCTGGAGTTAATGTGGGAGATGAATGCATAATAGCTTTCTCTGTCGCGTTCAGGAACTGGTGTGAGATAACTGCACCAAATTCAAAAGCTGAAGCGTCTGCAGCCACAATGATTGGCATGGATGGATAGTGATGAGTCAATAATACTTCAGAGCTAATGATTGCTTTCAGCTTGCAAAAGGCAGCTTCACACTCTTTCGTTCAGTTCAAGCTAGTATTCTTATTCAGAAGATAATTTTGTGATGCGCGTATGTCATGCATCAACGGAACGAAAGCTGATTAGTAACTGACTAATCCCAGATATGATCGGAGAGCAAAGACGTTGGTAGGAGTGGGCATCACTTTTATGGCTCGGATGTTTTCAGGGTCTGGTCTACGACCTGCAGCATCAAAGATGAATCTCAAATGTTTTACTGACTTCAAGAAAAACTGGCATTCTTCTGGATCCTGAATCCGTTATCACTGGTGCGTTGTAGTACAGCTGTCGTGCGTTCTCGTAGATGTTCTAAAGGTGTGACAACAATTAGGATGTCATCGAGATAAGTTGCAACCTCCGGGATACCCGATAGGATGGTATCCATTAGTTGCTGAAAAATAAATGAGGTGGTCTTAACTCCAAACGGTAGGCGATTATACTGAAGCAAGCCATGATGAGTATTGATAGTAAGTAGCTATCTAGATTCTGCAGCCACTTCCACTTGTAAATAGGCATCAGCTAGATACAACTTTGCAAAGAACTTTCCACAATTTATCATTGTGAACAGATCTGCAGGGAATGTCAGTGGGTAATGATGCTATTCGAGAGCTGTCTTAAGACCTATTGAAAAATATGCGCACATTCGAGTTGTGATATCAGCCTTTTTAATAACCACAATGGGTGGTTGTTTGATTACATGTACTTCAGTAAGATCAGAACCACCACGCTAGGCTATCGTAGTGTCGCGCTGCAGATTCATTAGACGTTGATATTAATTTGCAATATCATTGAAAGTGAGCTTGGGGTCTTGGTCCAATCGACTAAACAACTGTGTTCTGATGTCACTGAATCTCTGCGATTGGTGACTGTAGATGAGCATAAGGGCTTTGAATTGATCTTCAATCAGCGACTTCAACTGGAAGCGTTCTCATTTGCGGTTGACGATAATCATATGCATGAGAAAATCAGCGTATTCGTTCATAGTCAGCTTCAAACATCGATAGCGCGCGTTGAACAGTGAGGAATCATCTCCGAACTGTTGGCTCAATGACTGGACGGTGTCCAATAATGAGCGGTCACGTGGGTTTGGAGGAAGAACTAAGTTACAATATCTATCTAGTTCACTAAGACTCAGCTTCTGAAGCAGCAAGCGGACTTTCCAAGCGTTGTCCTGAATAGCGAAATCAAATTTGAATAAGTCTTCATATGTGATATTGGGTTCAGGATCGTATTAAAACTCAGAGATACTGTCCGCGACACCATCACCTGATGGTGCAATAGCAGTAGGATCGGAAGTACTTGGTTGAGAGTTAGATGTAAGTTTTGCATTTTCTAACATCTATATCAGTTTCAGCTGCTGCTCAAGCAATAATTTTACTTTTGAAGGATCCATGTTTGCAACATCCGATCCACGTTGCCAAATTTGCTGTTTGAAGCTGACTATGAACGAATACGCTGATTTTCTCATGCATATGATTATCGTCAACCGCAAATGAGAACGCTTCCAGTTGAAGTCGCTGATTGAAGATCAATTCAAAGCCCTTATGCTCATCTACAGTCACCAATCGCAGAGATTCAGTGACATCAGAACACAGTTGTTTAGTCGATTGGACCAAGACCCCAAGCTCACTTTCAATGATATTGCAAATTAATATCAACGTCTAATGAATCTGCAGCGCGACACTACGATAGCCTAGCGTGGTGGTTCTGATCTTACTGAAGTACATGTAATCTAACAACTACCCATCCAGTCATAACAATTTATAAGCATATAATTTAACTAAAGAAAAAGTATTCTTCTGGACAGTCGTTTTATATTTGATATCAGTTTATTCAGGCATTTGAATTGTTAATAGTTTCTGTAACCAGCCAACACTCGGGTACAGAGTATCACATCTAACAATCAATGTTTTGCCTATTCATTCCAACACTCCGAAGATCTTTCACTGGATCTCAAAATCCAAACCTATAACAGTATGTGATGGTAACTACCATTAATTTCACGATACTAAGATTTCCAGTACAAAATGATTTCATTATATTTTGATGCCACTTATCAGCTTCGCCGCCTAAAGCTAAGTAGACTTATTTGATTAGAAACAAAATTTCGACATACTTTACATGATTAGTTATTTACGCGTTTTCTTTCAACATAGAAGTAAAAATCAATTTTAAAAACGTTTAATAGCGTATCTTGTTTCGCATTTATGTGTATTACGATATTCGGATCCTACATCAACCTCACCGGCTGAGATATGTTAAACCTTTGTTTCTAATCACATTACCATTTGTAACTTTAGGTTATCTATAGCCAAATTCATGTTATTCTGAACATTTTATTGTTCTTCTTTCGTCTGAGTTTATCAGTTGATAAAACTTTGTGAAATTCATAGCAGTCGAACATGCTGCGAGAAACCAAAGAGTCTGTATCTTGATTATTCTCAATTAGATTGATCGTTAATTATGCACCAAACTAGTCTAACAAAATTCTGATGCGTTAACTATTTATCTGTTGGATGAAATGTAACAATCATCAGTTTTAACAGAAATATAATCTAAGGCGACCATCGGGAGATTAAGTTGAATGACAAAAAGTATGGATTGAAAACAGAAAATATGCATTAATCCAACTAGATGTAATGATCTGACCAGTTAATCAGGGTTGAAAGTGCCCTACCTACCTCAGTTTGACTAGTCAAGAATCTGTACTAACCCTGACTTGCTTACGGTATTATGTCTGAACAAATATATAAGAGCAGAATATCATTCGATACTACACATCAGAATATTCTGTATTCATAACAACCTAAATAAGTTTTATTCTTTATTTTCTACTTACCAAGGTATCGTCTTTTTCTACAGAATGTTGTTTGGGATTTGTGTTACAATGTGCCTGATTACTTAGTTGCAGATACTCTCGAACTGCATTTTCGCGGTCGTAATCGGCAGATATTCGATTTTCTCTTGGAGTTGGAGGCTCAACAGGAATATCTTCAAGGTGAGACCATTCTGAGGTTTTCTAAATATTTATACAAAAAGAATAGTGAGTACGTCTTATATATGTTATCGCGAACTCCACGCAAGTAAACACCGAGAATCTACTGATCGGTGGATGAAGATCGTTAAAATGTCCATTATAGTGCCAGACCTAATACGTTAAAGTGCTTAGAACCCCACATAGGATGTTCACTAGTCATTTCTAGATTTATTCACGATAAAAGGTTAACATTGCTATACTCAAATAATAAAACTATTATCACTAGAAATACATTCTAATCCGTGACAGTTGCTGAAACTGTTATGCTGATCCATAGCTTCATATATCCGCAAGTACAACATCACTGACAACTATAATAAATCAATATATTTTATATTTTTCTAATATTTGGCAATTAAAAAGAAAATCAATAATAAATTTTCTAGCTGAACACAAGTTAATGATGATGAATGAAACTAAAAAAAGAATTACATTGTTATCTGATTTAAATCAGAAACCATTCTGGTGATCTTTTTGTGAATAAGATGGGATCCGATTATAAAGTGGACTATAAAATCACTTCAAACATCATGGACGTATATTTGTTCTTTATCTGACGAAAATAGTTTAGTCGATTTTTCTCAGTCAAATTTATTTATTTATTATATTTATTTTAACACATAAGTATAGGTACAGGGAGGCACCAAATACATATGCGCCACACAAATCTCAATTGATTTGTGTGAGGGCTGTGATACTGACCGGGTGCCCAAACCGAACCACGTGGTTTTCTTAGGGGGCCACACCCCGAGCCTTTGACCTGAACGTCTGACCCACAAGGCAGTGGAGCATCGTAAGGAGATGCAGTCCCATGGTAGCCGGTGACCAACGATTGGTTCATACGCCATTTGTTCCCGCAGGATACTGGAGCCCATGTGCACCATTGGTTTGGGATCCGGTTAAAGCGCCGGACATTCGCTTTTCGTCCTCTCATTTTTGTAAACAACACCCCCGCCACGAGAAGGCAGTGAGTAGGACTTCCCTGGCAGAGGCTATATACGCATGACCATGTGAGAGCATTTCGAGAGGGAGAGCGGACTCTCCCCACTCTCGGCCGTACCAGGGCATTTGGGGGCTGACATTCCACAAAACCTAATATTTCAGACAATTAAGTATGAATGACCTTCAGCAGACGTTCCTTTCCGTTTATAGCAACGTAGTACCACCAATCTAGTTTCTTTATCAATTAGTAAGAATATAAATATTAATTGCTGCACTGCTAACAGAGAGAAGGGTAAATCAGCTGCATACCAAATGCCGAATGTGTAGAAACATTTTTAATCTGTTCTGTATGACTGATATTTAAATAACTTGTCGAAATAATTGAAAACTGATTGGTCGATAAGGTATCTCACTTTTCGTGTCATTATTTCATAATCAGAACGTCGGCATATAAAGGAATTTGCAGATGTTAATAATCAACTAAAAATAATGACTATAATTATCAGGTAGAATTATCGATCAAGTAATTCAAAAAACCAAATCCATTTGAGTGCCTAAAGCAGTGAGATATTTCCTTACAAAGAATGGCAATTTTACTAAAATCCAGTGACAAATCAATACTGGAGTTACTTCTCATTAATGTTCTGAAGTTACAGAAATTTACAAATTTACATATATATTCATTAGTTTAAGAATAATTAAATACCAAAGAGAAGATATAATATACCTTTTTGGATTCTAAAGCATCACAACTTTGAGGTCGTCTGGTAGGACAACTTTGGGTAGACGATTCGTTCCCGCCCTTTGAATACGAAGCAATTTGGAAAAAGCAGTAGGCAACATAAGATTGGTAAGTGAAGTCTTCATGCATTATAATCATATATAAAAATAAAAAAAATTAGTAGCGCATATAATTAACTTAGTTATTCCCTCAGTGCACCGGTACACAGCCAAGTGAAAACCGAATTCGGAAAAATTAATGATTCCATATTGAAATGGCCCATCAGTAATTAAGATGATTATTCTAGATGGTTTGATGGCCTGTTAGAACCTTGCATACCAAGCTATCATGCTTGAACAGCAAATAACTTATCGCAATCTTGGTTCAATATAATTTAAAAGATGGATAGATGAATAGCTAACAAAATGATTTAAACTTCTTTAGCATATGTTGAGCAAACTCCCAGAAATAATAGAGAAGCAGTTTAAAATCTGTTAAATAACAACGTAGTATTTTTGAATTATCCTGATTTTCTATAGACCATAAATAATAAAAGCATCCTTGTAAACCGAAAATTAAATACCCATGGAAAATGTTTTACCTGACCAGAAATATATGTGTTAGCTTAAACGTAAACTTTTTTATCAGCTTCTAAACTCTTAGGTTTTAATAAAAATCGAAACCTATCAAAAAAATATAAGGTGAATATTTCAAGCTTCTTGGAGAGCATTAGTAGATTATTACTTTAATCAACACTTATTCAGAGGGATTAGTGGCAATTTTCCGCTCTGCAAATAATATCAAAGATCCACCATGATTATTGCAAGCGGTGTTCATCAGAATTTTACACTATATGGATATACTCAACTATTCTTTAGATAGCGAGACTCTAATTTATGGACGAGCCAATCGGAAGTGTCTTACAGATTTCACGGTTACGGCTTAATGTTAACGTACGGTCGGTTCACAGGGAATTTTGTAAAAACGTGATAATTGAGCGGCTATAACAAATAAAATGGCGAGACTACAATTTGTGGACGAATCAATCAGGTATAAGGTAGCAGATCTCAGATTTTAACGCAGAAGACTTTCATCCATTTGGCTAAATAGATTTCTGGCATTATAGCTGATGTCAGTTCGTCCATAAACTAAAGTCACGCCCTCAAAACCTTCGAGATCTGAAGATCTGTATGCTAAGTTTCGACTATTTTCATAATGTGAATAAAATATTTTCTACCTGAATATTGACTTGCTCACACCAAACTTAGTATGGTTATAGAAACTTGATGCACATTTTGCAAAAAGTTAGTCAGATTTTTCCTCAGGAAAACAAACAATTCCTTATCAAGTGTAAAAACGTATTCGCAGTTGATTTTGTTAACTTTACATACATTATCCAGTTACTAAACTATGTTTTAAGCATCAAACTAACCAGTTTATTATTTTGCATATGTTGTAATCATAATAACTGTCTCCATCAAGATCTTACCATACAAATGGTCCTAAAACAATTCACGATTGGTTAGTATTTTGGTGGTCACTTCAGTTCCCAAATGAAGAAACTAACTGATAGAGACACAAAATACAAAGCTTTAATGGAAATCATTCCACTTTACGTTGATAAGACACAAAGGTATTTCGTTTGTACAGGAACAATGAAAATTAATATTTAACACCCCCAAAATACGAAACTCAAATGCAGCAGAACTATCACATACAAGTTTATGCACTTCTCAATGGGCTATAAATATTGTTAAACTGATAATAACACTACGTAGTTTTCTAGGCCTCAACAGTATGAGCAAATTTTTGGGATCTTGATCGATGAAATATACTCCAGAATGACAAAATGTTAATAGGTAAACCATTTGGATTAAGGAACATGAGTTTATATAAAAATTTTCCTAGCGTTTTGTGTTAAATTAAACAATGCAGACAGTCAACTTTTTGATGTCCCTTACCACGTTAGTATCTGCTGAATTAGGTCTTTTAACAAGTTCCTCCTGCTCCTCAACAGCCTTTGTATGTGTTCTGGGTCTTTTCACTTTTTCTTTATCACCATATTTCGAAAACGGGGGTTTATCTGGAATGTGTTTCGAATGCCTTTTATCAACGACGTTCCCTTTTTGATCTGATTCTTGTACTTCTCTGACAACAGACTTTCCACGGCGTCGGTCTAGAGAGTCGTCAGTCTTATCTTCTTCTTTTACCTGCTTGAGTTTGCTAAATTGGTCACCACCAGCTCGTCTTAGTACTCTTGAACCATTTGGTCTCAGCATCAGCAATCTTTGTCTTTCTTTTTCTGCTAGCTGACTTGGAGTTAGTGGCTGAGTTAATGGACTAGAAAGAAGACGAACACCCGGAGAAACTGCAAGAAAAATTAAAAATGGAAATTTTAAAGGTGAGTATTTGGATACTTGATACAATCACTAGATTTAATAAAAGGGCTACCTATGCCGGTTTCATGTCATTCATTAATCAAGTGTTATTTTCAGAAACGCGACCAAGATACCATTTTTACGACTAAGTGACATAAAAATCCTCGTGATTACTTTGAAGGATAATAAACTACTCAATGACTGGACAGATACTAAACATGTAAGTTGTTGCTGAAAAAGAAATCAAGTGCTCAGCTTACATCGATGTAATGTGCAAATATTAGAATCCTGTTCGACTTGAATTAAATTTAACTATTGATAGAGTAGATATCACGTCCACCTGTCTGTCAGATGACGAATATATTGAGTAGCAGTAAGCCCAATATTACTTTGAAAATCCAGAGCAGTCTTTAAAATTGAATACATATGCAATTTGTGAGCTGTTGGGAAATGTCTACTCAAACCCAAACATTACAGACACCAACATCATATACTTGAGGATTTGTAAAACAACAGGAATGATCAGTTTAAAACTTTGGATAAACCTATGAATACACTGAAACAAAGCCACAAAACACGCATTTTACCCACACATTTCCCTTTCCCTGTACATATTCTCCCACAGTAAATATAAAACTGTTAAAAACGTTCGAATTAAGAGAGCTTACTTATAAACTAAATATGTTGTAAACTTATGATAAACCGCAACACACTGGAACGAACGCTGTTTGTTTATTGTTTTTATTTGATAAGTTCAGTTTAGCGAATAAAACTTTATACATATTAGAAAATTATATTTCATCTAAAATGACTAGAAAGGAATCCAGTTGATTTTCCTTTTGACATCTGACAAATGTCGATTAATATCATTGCAGAACCCAATAGCTGATAGACCCTTTTCAAAACGACTGTGTAATACCTAAAACCCACGACTGCATGTTGCAAAGTATTTGCTAACAGGACACAAATAAGCAGGTTGAGATGTGTCTCAATGAGTCAGTGACTTCAGAAAGAAAACCATTTAAGATATGAAAACTATCGGTATGATTAGGAAGTGACTTTTACAACTATACGTGAACAGATGATTAGTTATACACTCTAAACTAGTGAGTTTGATTGACAAACTCTCATAGAAATAAAAATGCATGCTCAACAAAAATTAGCCTGCATTACGTTACTTTCAATCTTATCGCAGACAAATGGATGATCCAAAAGGTCTGGCCACTGCAAACGTTGTCGTACATCTTTTTGCAACAACCTGGCCAAAAAATCCTTGAAAACAGAAGACATATCTGGAGGCCATTGAATAGAAGTTTTTGTAATCATCTTGACTAGTTGAAAGATACTGTTTGTGTAAAACGGAGGAGTACCAACGAACAGTTCGTATAATATGCAACCCAATGCCCTTAATATATGTGATTAAGAAACTAAACTACTTACCATAAGTCAGCTGTATGATCATAAGGTTTTTCTTCAATAATCTCCGGAGCCATATATAAAGGAGTTCCCTATAAAAGATGAGTATTGGTAAACGAAAAAAATAAGAACCTTTATAGATGTCAGAACTAAAGTATTCCAGCCCATGACTCGCGCAAACCCGAAATCACAAAGCTTGACAACACCATCTTGACCCAGTAAAATATTTTGTGGCTTCATATCTCTGTGCAAAATACGGTTGGCATGAAGATAATAAAGTGCAGATACCAACTGACAAGCCACGGATCTAACCTGAGAAGTATATACTAAAATACCAATAAAACTACCGTTTCTTCGGAAAGTCGGCCATCATCTTCAATTATTTGAAAAAGATCTCCCTCGGCATAATCAGTAATTGCAACAACCTAAAATGTAGATTGGTGGCAACGATATTAGGAATTTAGGGACTAAGTAACCTCTCTTTCTGTCTCAAATGAGTCTTGCATTTCTATTATGTTAGTGTGATGCATTGATCGCATAATCTCAATTTCAAGTTTGAGATTTTTAAGAGCATTTTCGCTCTTCCCAACTTTCGGTATAAACTTCATGGCTACAATCTTTAAGAATACACACATTCACTGATAACATTTTGATCCAACCTGTCCAGTTTCCTTTCTTCTTCCACGGAAAACACGTCCGAAAGAGCCTTCTCCTATACATTCCAACACTGTGTAACATTCCAAACCCATAGGAAATACCACAGCCGTGTTGCGTAGGTAAATATACTTTTAAAAACGTTCAAGGTCGCGTTGCTAGTTTTGAAGTACTAGAACAAGCAAGAATATTCCATATGTTAAGACTTTGAATAATATCGTTTCAATGAAGATGCACAGTCTAGTTTTCAGTATCAATATAAACGATAAATCTCGCTGTACTTTAGATCACAGTAGTGCATTTCATGTTGATCCTGTATGTCCAGTTTAAAGAGTATCAAAAATAACTCTGATAACTACATCAAGCATCCTCTGTGCAAATCAAAGAGCCGAATTCGCTTAAGCTCTACCCCTCGATATTGCGTTTATTCCTCGCGTGTAAATATTGGCCGAATAAATGTGATTTCTGGATCCTTAATATCAGTAATACTTGCAGTACAGTATCAAACTACTTTCAAACGTAGAGTAAAATTGCATGAGGCGGTACCCTTTGGTCACAGAAGGTCATTCAGTTGTTTGTCGCTACAAGAATGACGGATATTACTTGCCTGTGATTTTTATTCTTGTTTTGAGCTTAATATAGGATACATTTGTCCACCGACTCTTTCCCTTAATCATTGGCCAGGCCTTCTATTACTTTCGACTTGATTGGTAGTAGTGGAACCTGTCGGCAGCAGATTTAGTCTTTTTTATAAAATAATCATAAGCTTGGACAGAGAGTGGTCGATTCACATTCTTTTAGACGTTTCTGAGATTCTATTGGGTGACTGAACAGATAACGTATTGGTATACTGACGCCCTTCGAGCACTGTTTTAAGATTTAGACTCTCGTGCTCCCGTGGATTCGAGTCGCCTTGATACTCGGACGCCACAACACTTTTGTTCATGTCCAGTAGGCTCCCAATCATCGAAAAAGATTGATACATTATGGAAGCTAGCTTGGATTTGAGATTACCGCTTTTGATGTGCCTCTGGTCGGTGTTTTATTTATAAGCTAGCTCAACTTCGTGTGCCTTCAGGAGATCTGTGTGTTTCAGAAAATGACGAATGACATAACCACGTGTAAAATACGTCTTTTTCCGCCACACAGCTTAAGAAATTTTCCATCTTGAACCAATGAACTGTTGACCTATGGCTTGTAGTATGTGAGTTTATATATTTGATCCCTTTATGATTAGCATAGTTTTGTTATTATACTGTGTGACATGCTTCTAAAAGTATTTCGACTACCTATTCGACGTCTTTCGGCAGACAATGTTCTTGTCATTAGATGAATTAGAAAAGTTCTCTAGTGTGTAGAAAAGTAATAATTCGGATAATTGCAGATGATATGTACTTAGGACGTCTACGTACAAATTAGACATATTTTTGCTATCTACCTTTGTAACAATGTCGTGCAGCTGACGACTCTAAGATAATACGTTTGTACGGGTTAGTGTTGTTACAAGAAAAATGTATGTTTCCCTTATTTTTACAAATACTCAGACGAATTTTTGGGAGGCTGAATTGTACCTACACATTTCAGAATGACATGCAATAGAATATACTTCTTGTACTTACAATGCCTTAATAAATCATTCAATAATCCTAAATCTCAGCAGTATGGGAAAGTAGATTGTTATTGCTTAAGGGCATAGATGCTTACAACAAGTTTGTGAAATGCCAGATGTGACAAGCTGACAATGTATGTTAAAGCTAACCGGAGAAATCAGTCACATTGCCTACAAGCAAAGCTAACAGGATTTGAATAACGCATTGCCTCGAGGACCTACCTGCAGTACATAAGCTCCGTAATACGTAACACCCATCTGCTTATCACATAGAATGTTGCTGCCAATGATAACTCGGTTTATGAATGCCTTAGCTAGACCATATTTTGTTGTAATAATTTATCTCACTGAAGATGCCACAGGTATTTTTAGTTTACCAACGCTTTAACTAGTAACACCTTCTTCCATGAATCGTGCTCACGTGGTGAAATCAAAGGATAGAAGCAAGGAGGTTCAAAGATACATTTGACAGGCCATTGATTTTAGGGATTTATTTACCGCTGCAGATCACTCCCACATTGTGGGGTAATGGTGACCCTAAGACGTGACCAGCCAGAGGTTCAAACCCAACAAGTTTTTCGTCGGTAAACACTCTTCTGACAGCTTTTCATGTTCAGCAGTGTCTGGTCGTCTTTCCTTATTATAAGAGAACATGTGTTACAATATAGTAATAAAGAAACAGACACAATGAAGATTTCGGTTCATCGTAAACTTCGTTCTTTTTTCTTATTTTCGAGCTGTTCTGGAAAAGAAAAATAGGATATGTAAGTACATGTCGAATCACACTCGTACGTGCGTAAAACACAGAGCAGGCGAAAAAAAGGAAAAGAAACTCATACATACGCGATAGCTTAAGTGAGATTTCAACAGAATATTATGTTGGGAGTTTTTTCAAAAAAAAAAATCAAGTATACACATATTAGAGAGCGTATTAGCAAGAACTTTGTTTTTTGGGGATAAATACATAAATATAAGCAAATTAAAATTGGTTTGTCTATTATACCTAATACAAAGAAAAATCGAGACGATACAAAATGTTAATTGGTGCCTCACGTTCAATAATCGTTTAAATGTTTCAAAAATTTTATTCTTCTTCTAGAACGCTTTGTTTTGAGTTTATTTTTAGATACTGCCAAAGTATCATCGTGAGTGTTGGCTATCGGATGGTGTGTCATATGTTTATGAGTCGTGTCTTTCATTTATACCGAAGGACAATTGGCCCGATTAAGGATTCTTTCCAGATGTGCTGCTTTGGTGCGGTCGACGCTGATGCTATCGTTAGCTTTGTTCTTATCGATTATATAGTGCTGACGTTCGCGTCGAAGAAATTTGGAGGGTTTTCCGTATGTTGATTCAAGAGGTTCTTCATGTGAGTTTCGATGTACAAAGACGTGTGTACTATATTGCACGTCAGGTTGATCGAAATCATCAGTTAACTGCGGTCAGGTGGGAACAGGTTTATTCAAAATTTTTGCGTTTGTAGGTCTGCTCGTTTAGGAGTTTAGATCCATATTCTTTGACAAATATGAAAGATCTACGAATTCTCCTGGAAGTCGAAGTGTCGTTCCGTAAACGAGCCGTGCTGCAGTATATCCAGTGTCAGCTTTCTTTACATAGAGAATATCGAGTCAAACGAGTGGAAAGTCTCGGTCTACTGTGAAACGTTTGCAGCTGATAGGGAAGCTTTGAACTATCGGTGAAAGCGTTCTACCATCCCGTTTGTTTGTGGGTGGTTTATTTACTGCCACAACGGACAAAAAATGCAGTAATGTTCATCTGAGAGTATATGTCATCTATGTCTATCCCGAGTATCGAATCAACGGCAAAGTTCTATTTCACCACGCAAATTGATGCTTGGTCTGATTACTACAATTTATACACATTAACCCTGACCTGTAACAGGACATGGAAAGCAGGAACATATTCATACTAAAGTAAGATCCCAGCTGGGAATCATCATAAATCATCTAACTGACAATCTCGTCACTGTACGGTTTAGCCGGGTAATTCTCTTTCGAAACGGTGCTAACAAGAGTCTTGACTTTTATGTAAACTCCTGCCGGAGTATTTCGGTAAGCGCTACTCACCAGTCAATGCTATTGTCATGTTCCCCAACTTCTGCAGGAGAGAAAACAAAACCACACTTCTAGGTAACTAGAAATACACTCCAACTACCTAGTCGTAGACACTTCGATTGGCTACTTCTGTTGTACTTTGAATGACCTTAAGTCTTTACGTGTTAGCCAATAAGCACATGATAAACAGGTACCCTTTTGAAACGTTGGAAGGAGTTTATTAGGTATGGTCAGATACTAGATTTTAATAGCAATTTATGCCGAAGTGCTTTTGTTATTGATGAGGAAGCTCCGCTCACTCTTTAAAAATCAAATTGGACCTGGTATAATACAATCATATATAAGTTTAATAGTCAAAATACCTAATTTGGTATTTTGGGAAAGCTGCAATATAAAATTTTTAGAAAGTGCGACAAAAACTTCCGAGTTTTTACTCGTATGAGGCTTATCCACAAAATTCCGAGTTACTTTCGAAAACCCCATAACGTTTGGAGGGAATTTTGGTTTTCCCCAATATTTCCCCAGACTTTAAAGTCTTCCGCAATTGTGGAAGACTTTTAATTATCATGAAATTTTCGGGAAAATTCTTTAGAATTTCCCCAATTTTTGTAGATCGCTGACCCTAAAATATCAACTCCAAATTCGACAGTGGCATGACTACGTCAGGGTATTAATAATAAACCTCATGTTATATGTAAATAAATCGATTTTGTTCTTATATACTTCTGAAAAACGAAAAAGGACACAAGATATTTTTTTTCCTCAGAAACTAATTGAACAAATATGTGGACGGGTGTTTATTCATTTGTATCATTGGGCGAAATATCTTCTTGTTATATAACAAGAAGATACAACCGACCAATCATAATTTATCTTAATAGGGCGTCACACATTTGTTCTGAAGTATTCAAATAAAACTATACATTGGGGCTGTGATATATTTAGGTAGGCTTCAATCTGGAGTGAAGATATATTGTATATAGGGAGAAGGTGCAGAGTAATATGAATGATAAATAGAAAAGAGTAAAATCAAAACAGCTAACAATTTACTAAGCTCACAAGATTTGCTTACAGTTAATAAAGTTAGCAACTGGAAAAGTAAAATGTAAATAATTTGCGAATATAAGATGATCCGGCATTTGAAACAAGTTAATTGACTTGAATAATTTTTAGCAGTTCGTGTTTGGTCAAAAGGTACTTTGTGTACTAGGAGGGACACGCAAAGTAGCATGAGTGAAGTCTAAAAAGAGAAAAACAAAGAGAAATGTTATTTGATGACCCAACAGGTGCGCTAAATGCACTTATACTTATCAAGAGAAGCAGTAGTCATTCAGTAATAACACAAGCCGCAGATTAAAACAATCTTGAAATCAGAATCAGATATTTTAGTTCGCTACACAGCTACACCTCATGACAAAACACTACGACAATGCTTTAAGTGCCTTAATTGTGACTAGGATTAAATCGGCATTACTTCATAATTTTTCAAATCTAGTGCATATATTTGAACTGTTATATCACTTAACGGAAATCTACATTATGGGAACTTCCGATTGTTATACATAAAGTTTAGTGACAGTAAGCTAGCCGTCGTTATGGCGCTTTTAGTTTTCTGTAATGTTGCTACATACAGAGTATATTGATTGATAATTGTCAGGATATAACAAGGGCCTTTAGTTATATGGTTCTCTGGTATTATTCGTTCATAATTCCCCATGCTTTCACGTCTTCTAAATCACCTTAATTTTTTAATACAAACAATCTTTAAGGTTTCTCTTGAACCGTAGCCCATTTCGTGTTAGTCAGTGTGAAGTATCATGATGATAATCAACGTAGTCTCCATGGTGTTTAGGCTTCTTATGGACTACCTTTTGAAAACAGATCAAGTTCGACTAACACTATCTCCGTGGATCCTTGAAGATAGTAGAACCCTTTTTGATGAAATAACGTGAGCGGCTACGGAGAGATCGGAGTAATCCCTTTTTCTGTCGCAAAGAAGGATTCTCAGAAAGGAGTGTACTGTATAGATGAAATACAAAATTGGCGAAAGAATTTCATCCTTGGTACCTGGCTGGATTATCTTGAGGAAGGTTTATTAAGTCTAGTACAAACCAGAGCGAATGTTCATAAACTGCTGTAACCAGTACACAAGGGTTGACACTTTACTCGTCTGTGATATGAGCATGAAGGAGCATATCTTCAGTGGATGACTTACAACCCAAATGATTTAAATCCTTGTTATTTATTCACTGTTCGCTGCCACTGGTCCACGACCTGGAATGAATCGCACCTATACGTATGTGTATACTAAAATATATGTAAGCTTCGGTCTATGGATTGTATATATGCATGTAACGTATAAATGCTAGCGGAAAAATCTATGCTTACGTGTGTTCTATTAAGCGTATATATTTGACGTGCATTCTATACATACATGTAACACACCTATGGCTGTACCACTTCCCATACTATTTTGTTCCTCATAGTTTTCATCGCGTTTGAGTTGTAACTACGTTACTGAACGAGATAGGAAAGTGCTGCCGTACAGAAGTAGATTGTTAGTATCCGTCTATCTTACATGTAGAAGTAAACAGCTAACGTGTCAGCTTATACTGCATTAAGTATGGTTGAATCAAAGCCTCTACTTACATATGAGTTATACCAAGATAAACTGTTAGTGTCCCAATCTCGAACGTTTTTGCAAAACCTCGTTTCGCTTCTCGAAAACCCAATTGGCTTATACCTAGTCAAACGCGAGGTGTTGAACACAACCAAAAAGCCTTTTGATGAGTGAAATTACTTTCAAAGTATCAGTGGTCGGAGTAAAAAAATGAAGATTATCTCATTGTAGCATCCCAATTTAAACTGGAGGTGTTGTGTTTTTCTGTTGTGACCTCTCAATCAGTGATTTAAGCATGTTTTTGGTGTTTTCTTGTTCAAAGATCTATTTCTTAGCCGTATGCGGAGAAATGCTTTTGACAAGTTCTTGAAACTTGTACCAATGTTATATGGAAAGTGAATACTAGTTTCATGTACAACTAAGAAAACGCAACACCACTGAAATCCTCCTTTGAGCTTCGAATCTTTCCCACCACACCGAGAGATGATTATTTTTCCATTACAAAGTGACTTGAAATAAAATTTTAAAGTGTTTAAGTGTCATGTGCCGTCCTCAGTGGCTTAATAAACTTTGCTACTGTTCTTATTTAAATGTCGACTTGCTTTTTTCACAAATAACTCTCCTCTGGCTGTTTTTGGCCCTTTTGGTATCATTTTTGTTGTTTGTCCTATGTTATGATCCTTTTAAATGTAAAACTTAACTCTTTTCACTATTATCGCACTGCTTGTATTGGTTTGATCAGTGTAAGTTTTGTAGGAATATGTTCGTTAGTGAATGTTTTCAGTGAAGCCGGTGAATGCTTTTTGACAGTTTTTATTAGCTTAACACTTTTATATGGTTTTCTGGGGCAGTTTAAGGGAAATGTTCCTCACAATGTCTAAAGTTTGAAGTTAAAACTATGCAAACACTGTATCATTGTTTGTATAATATGTTTCTCTCAAAAATAGTATTCACTAGAATTTTGAATATATTGAGTTTTCACACCGCAGGATCTCTACTGGATTATTCAACTTAATGCCTTCCCTTAACGTAATTGTTTTCACGTTTCAGATCACATATACGTTGATGTAATACCAACTAACAAACGGTAAGATATTACTAGTTACTAATAGTGATTTGCATATATGTAGAGGAATGATGATTAACCCACGTTCGTGGATGTCTGACCTTCCCTGTCATATATCGCAGAAGGCCCTTAATCTAATAAGCATTCCAGGTTTGTCACTGTATATTTTACATTATTTTCTTACGTCATCGAATCCCACTCTAATAACTTACAGAAAGGTCCAAGTGACTACCTATCAGTTGATGTATCTTACCACGTCAATTAATGCTTTAAACGTTTGTTGTACTGTTCTGCATTATTGTCGCTTGCATTTAAATTGAATCTTTTCATTTGTTCTCTTATAAAGTACCAAAAACACTAGTCTTATGGAAACAGGGTGAAAATCAAAAATAATGATTGGCCCATAGCCCAGTGTTTCAAGTAAATTTCCCAAATGTGATTAAGCGATCTGTACTAATAGTATACTTTAAAGCACCCTTGATCAGTGAATTATAGCGATCTGTTAGGTGACCTAAATAGACCTCCATTTCCCTCATAATATAGTCTTAGCTATCATATAAAGGTTCTTGTATGATACTTTTTATGCAAAGTTGTAATGGGGATCAAACCTATGATTTAGTGGTTCAAATTAAATACGCTAACCTATCAAATTGTAGTTTCACTCAGTTGAGTACATAAATTTCATTTTCATTAAGTTAGGTCTCAATTTTGTAAATTTGGGTGTGGTTTTTATTTCAATAGTTTACGAATTTATATGCAGTTCAGTGTTTTGAAAGTGACTTTTTAACACATTCCGGAGGTTCCCTAAGATATTATTGTTATAAACTGCTTTCACTGTTATTTGTTTTAATTGCCTTTTATTGTAAACTGAAGGCATACATTACGGTCAGCCATAAAATTAAGAGTATTATAAAACTCATCTATAATATGTTAATTCAACAAACTGTACTAAGTTGTTTAGTACAAATAACTGAGGACCAAAGCTTGTTCAACTCACTGACAAGGTAAAAAATGATCTTATAAAAAAACAAAATTGTCGAAAGCGATATTAACATTTGATTCATAAAGGACAACGTAAATCCAAAGCCACTGATTTCATATTGGCTCTCAACCTCGTTACTATCTCGAAATGCTCTCGAATGGCCACGTGTATACAATCACTGCCACAGGAAGTCCTATTTACTGCATTCTAGCGGCAGGGGTGTTTTTTACGACATTGAGAGAACGAAAAGCGAATGTCTAGCGCTTTGACTAGGATGGTGGATACGGAGGATCCACCTGGGGGAGTTGGAAATTCCTGATTTCAAACCAATTGTGTACATGGACGATAAATGGCGTATGAACCTATTGTTGATCACCGGATACCATGGGACTGAATCTTCTAACTTTGCTCCATTGCCTTGTTGATTGGACCTCTAGAACAAAGTCTCGGGGTATGGCTCCCCCGAGAAAATCTCTTGTTTTAGTTTGAGCGCCCGAAAATTATCACGGCCTCACACAAACCAGTGATAACTACTACTGGAAAAATTTCTCTTGCTTCAACGCCCACTCAGACAAATCTTATTCACAATCATATGATAAAATTTGCTATTATTTCTTTTATACTACGTCACTTATGTATTTCTCTTTATTCTCGTTTTGGGTATTTTATTTTTCAATTCACACAGCAGTTCGCCTGTGATAGAAACCCTGTATTATCTACACGATCTCACGTCACTGACTGACCAAAAGTTGAATACTACCACCGACTACGAACACTAAAACAGTCTTTCTGAAACCACGAATACCATCCAAATTGGTCTCCTTCAGTATTCGCACACTAATCCAGATCGGACAACAGATAGGGTTGGCTATGTCTTCAGAAAGTCTTAATATCGATGTCTGTTGTTTATCCGAGACCCGTATTCAGGACTAATGAAGTACTACAATTTTGCTTTCCTTCTGTAGCTTCGAAAAGCTTGTTTCACGTGCGTTTATCCGGGGACCCTATAGCATCTTCATTCGGTTTTACTGGCTTTGATGATGCACTAAGCGCGAGAGTTGAGGCAGCGCTGATCGATTGGATCCCCATTAACAGTAGGTTATGTGCTGTTAGATTAGAAAGTTCCATCAAAGTAAGAAGAAATCGGTGTGAGACGATGTCGTTTCATTATCGCATACGCCTCGACAGATTGCAGCCCAGATGCTATCAAGGATGGTTTTTACGACCAGTTAACTGTTCTACAGTAAGTGCGTTCGAGAGATACTATGATACTAGCTGAAGACTTGAAAGCTCAGGTCTTTCATTCCGTTAAAGAAGTTACTCTCTCTTTTATGAAGAAAGTAAAGGGAAGTTACGGCGGGATTGCTACTGGCTTCTATTCTGTGCCATATCTGATAACGTCACTAACCACTATGTTGCACCATCTCTCGGACCCCAACCAGGGAGTCGTGAAGGACCAACAAAAGCCAGTCCTGTGCAGCTTTCTTTCATACCACGACACCATGTGATACACTTATCACCTCTTCGCTTTTTCCAACCAGTCCCAGCATCGGAAAATAATGCACGACGAAGAATTCTCTGGGACGGCATTCGTAGAACATGTCAAAGCCAGCGAAGTCGATGTTTCAAGATGGTGACATCAATGGAATTATCGTCTCTGAGCCCGAACACAAGATGCCGAACCTCTGCATTACTAACATGGTGTAGCCACTGGATGTCAGCAGTCCTTCGGAGACAACGATGATCAAACACAGAGAATCGTCTAGCATCCTCATCTCGGAGAGGCCAGGTTTCACAAGCACAGAGCAAAACTGCTCTCACCAACGCGTTGTAAATCCGACCATCCACTCTCAGATTAACACCACGAAGGAGAGAACAGTTCTGTCCAACGAATCGAAGGCGGCCCTTATGTCAAGAAACACTACGATTGTTGGCCAGCGATAAGTTTGGAAGTGTTTATACATTTGTCAGAGGGTGAAGGTATGATTGGTATATTGTTGCCCAGAATGGAAACCAGCCTACTTTTTCACGAAATCTACGAAGTATGATGAAAACCTATAGTTCGGATGCAACAGGAAGTAGACATATCTCCCGATAGTTTTTGCTAGATGACGTGAACCCTTTTTAAAGATAGGAAAACTATCGACTCATTCCACGATGTTGAAACACTGTAATTGCCAGACATTTGTAAACAACTCAGTCAGTTCCATAGCCAGAAAGTCGCTACCATCTTTAAAAACCTCCGGAGGTAAGTCATCTGGACCTGGCAATCGTCGTGCTTCAAAAGTTGGAGTTACTTGCGGACTTCCGCCGTCAAGAGCCATGGAGTACAGGACAGTCTGATCGATGCCACCGGGGCAGCAGACCAGTTGAACTGTTCCTCGAAAAACTTTGCCCATCGTCCAAAACGTCGGTAGATGTTAGTGATTGGTATCTCGTTATCTTCACAGATTGTTTCACTCACACCAGACTTCTTGCTGTCAGTGAGTGGGATGAGTTGAAAGAGCTTTCAGCAGTTACCAGATACAGCTGCTACTTCCAACTCGTTAGCATATTCTCGGTCTGAACACAAGCTTTGTACAATTTCATTACGTAACAGTCTTCGTTTGTGGTCAAACTCGCGGTCGCCCGGAGTAGACCGTAGAACTTCAATAACTTGTAAAGAGCCTAAAGAAACCCAGTGCTAATAAGCAGGAAGTGTCGCGAATCCTCAAGCAACTTCGCTCACCATTTTCATGGCGTCATACAGTTGCGGCTGATTCTCATTTATACTTTTCGGTGGAACAGTAGCTAGCCTTGAACCTAGCTCGGTTTGATACTCAATTGCAACAGAAGCTGCAACCAATTTGGTGACATCGGTCCGTTTATAACAACAAATTTGTTGGCCACTGAGACGCAAGGTAAAATTCGTGCAAATAGGGGCATGACCAGAGTATTATCACCTACTTCTTCAGAAACCATTCGATCTTGGTGGCGAAGTTATCTTTTAATCATTATCTTTAAATGCCATTCCTTCTGATCATTTGAAAGTTAATGACCGAATTATTAGGTGAGAGATAAATCTGTCTACATAAGGTATCAAAATTTAACTGTTTTGACTGACCTTTTTGCATCAAATGAAATCAGCCGTGTTTATAGGTCATTTTGCCCGGATACTAATCAATATCCGTACCATGAATTTCTTTACATAACGTATTCCTGAATGTTGGAGATTTTTCAATTTTGTTAAATCGAAACGAGATTACTGGAAAATTTGGCAATAACATAGCAGCACTTAAGTAACGGACTATGCACTCTAGAATAATTTTGAAATTGTCGTTTAGCTAAGACAATTATTTAAAAGTACCTAGTGACAGAATATCCTATTAAAATTCAGAATAAATTACTTTTTAAAAGTAACATTGTTTATAGTTTGATTTAATACACTTGATTTCCTTATGGAGGTTTATTGTGATGTCTTTTTGGTATTCTTTGGTACCAGAACTCATATTGATTCCTGTCTATGAAATTTAAATTTCCTTGTTTATCTTGTGTCCCTAGGTAGTCATAATTCATTTACGTATTCGATTACTCAACATAGTCCTCCTTCTCCTGATGGTTCTATTTGTCGTTTGGATACATGTTTACCTCGTTCATTTTTAAGCCGAATATTGTATCCTTGGAGTGTAACACAATCACTAAGTTTAGTTGATCAGCTGGAAGCTGGAATTCGATATTTTGACTTTCGTATTTGTGCACGACAAAAATGTTTGAACAAATGTAAAAATGATGAATCTGAATTTTATTTGGTACACGGACTGTACGCGAACATGTTATCTACAGAACTTCAGAGCATTCTTGGTTTCCTCAAAGCCAATCCTAGAGAAGTTCTCATTGTAGATTGTAATCATTGTTATCATTTTGAAACTGATGAACAGAAAAATTGTTTTGAATCAACTGTTTTAAAGGTAGGAATAAGTAGTTTGGTAGTATAATAGAGTAATATACAACATATCGATCAAACACAAACCCTTCTATCAAGTTGTTAAATGAATTTGAACTAATCAGTAAATAAACTTACACGAGTAAACCGTGTACGCACGACTCTTTTATGCTGCAAATTAATTTCAACTGGCCAAAACTTCCAGCAGATCACTCATCGATACAACCGTCAATGAAACTACGAAATATGTAGTATTGAACATGAATCGGATAACAATTTAGTGCAATACATGCTTGTTTTTCTAAAACGATTCAATTATACACATATTATATCCCACTACTATGTACCAAAGTTTATGAAACAGATTAAATCTGGTTGTAAGATAAAAGCTACCCAGTTGAGTTTTTCCGGTCATCATATTTTGTAGATTTAATGGTGATTGTTCACAATGTCATATTTACTGCGTCTTTATGTCGTAGGACCATATTTATTTCCATATAAAGTTGACTAAGCCGGTTTTACATTAAAAATAAAAACAAAAGCCTTTTTCGATAGCACATTCATAACGTATGTTGCATTAACTAATCAGTTTTCCACAAGGCCTCTCATCCTCATAAAATTTTATAATATCGAATATTCAACAAAATGATATACTTGTTTAGTGCTCAGCTGAAAGCCAAACTCTCTTTTTTAGAGTGCGGTTGTGTCGTCATCAGCGTCTGAGTGGCGATTGGATATCGGTCCAATAATCTATCAAACACATATAAAATCTCATAACCCTTTATGAATTACTGGTTATGCTTTCAGTGTTCATAAATCCTAAGCATGTGATATCGATTATAAACTTACTTTGTTTTAAAAATGGGTAGTTCATTACTTTTTTAATGGAACAATCATCAACCAAGATAATCGTAGATATAATTTACATAACTACTACCTCAGCCAATGTGGTTAATAAATCTGAAAAAGAACTTGAGAACTTATAGTAGTACACCACTGAAATTCTCTTTTCGGTCATTACCGTTTCTGTTTCATGTAGTTAACTTCCCATTTAAACAATGACTTAATTCTGAATTTATTGAATTTGTCTGTCTACAGTTTGTTATTTTACTTTGAATCGCTTTTTTTCAAAAAAACAACAGGAAATAATGTCATAGATTTGTAACTTACGGGGATCAATTTGACTGTGTTGAGCATCGATTTCTTGATGATTTAAGTTTTGCCATATTGTTTGTGTGAGTCTTGAATAATTGTTTCCGAGAGATGAATAAAATTGGGGATAGTTGAGTTTAATTTGTGTAAACATGTTCCTCTTTTTGGCACAGTGTGTAAATAGTGAGTACTCTCGTGCTCAAATGTAACTCAGCTCTAGTTAGCTGCTGTTTTCAGTCTATAAGTCGGAGTCATAGTTACCCTTACAACAGGCAGATGTTGAGATGTCAAACACTTATTACGGGTAATCTTCTGGCAATCAACAATTTCAGGCTTTATATACTAAAGGTATTGCCAAGGATTACGGTCTTATAGTGAAAATTCGCCTCAGTAGTTTACTAACTTGAACGTATAAATCTTCGATTTTTACACGCTTTGATTGAAGCTCCATTCCGTAAATATGTAATTGTTTAGTCAACTGTATTACCACCATTCATTTTCTTATTGCCATAATGTGTTTCCTTTCACTCTTTTATTCCAGATTTTAGATTCTATTATGTTCCCTTACCAAAAAATTATTCCAACATTAGAAGAACTTTGGAGTGCTAGGCAACAAGTTATATTTATATCCTGCCATCGAAAATCCCCCGAGAAGATCCATCCGAAATTCTGGCCTTCTAGTAGCATAAAATCATTTTGGCCGGAAACTGTTGGTCCACGGGCTATGATTTCATTCCTAAATAGCCATATTAAGTAAGGTTTATTCATCTTTTACTGCTGTTGTCTTATTCACTCGTTTGTAATTTTCTATTTTATTGACAAATATCTTGTTATTAGTTTTTTGTTCTAATGTCTGTATTAGGTTCAGATTTATTGGTTTATGTTCTTTGCTACTCTTAATTGAAAAGTGACTATGAATAATAATTACTATTTACGATCGATTGTTTTCTTATTTCCTACCGCGAAAAAATTAGGAGAACGAAGATCGGCTTTTTTATATGTATCCTAAACTTTGCAGTTTTCCTGACTTGGCAACAAGAAAAATTACTGTCTTTATTTTCTTGTAGTTTGTTTTTGGTGTTTATGCAAGTTGGTAAGTTTTGAGGACATACCGTCATACAAGAAAATGTAATTATCTTAAGATTAACACCTATGTAGGGTAATAAGATACTGTATTAAGTTATCACTGTTAAAGTTGGTAATGTTGCTTGTTAAAAAAACATCAACATGGAGGATCGTCAAGTACTAAACTATAAAATAAGCCTGTTATATGTAGCGTAGGAATTACATTACCTGCTCATTTTAATCAAAGTAGATCTGTAGTGTGTGCTACTGATGTCGAAAGATATAAGTAGTAAGTATCACCCATCGAAAGTGAAATACCTGGCGGCAGAAGGTTAAGTTGATCTAAGAGAAGAGAACGAGAACAGAGAATGGTTGGTGTGGAAACGAAGGAACAATGAAGTCTGAGACAACTGATTGACATTTTGCAAATGAAGCATTTACTGTATGGTTCTCAGATTTTACCAAGATATTCTGCAATGTTGCATTCAAATACATTTAGTTGTCACAGCCTGTGTTCTCGTTCACTACAGATCGAGAAGATATGTGGTTGTTAATCAAATGTTTCTGAGATTCTACGACTTGAACCAAAATATACTACAATTGGTTATTTAACTTTTACTAATGAATACTCTAATTACCACTGATATCGAATGGTTCTGGGGATTTTTTCAGACATTTTCAAGTGAATTTTAATATACAAAACTGAATGTTTCACTTCACTTGTCCAACAGACTTGATGTTCTATTTAATATCCAAGCGTACAATGCACGAAGTTCATAAACAGCTGTTAAGCGAATAATCAGATTGACTACAAAAAAATAGAAATAAAAGTCAACGAGGGCTATGAATCTGTTTATCAGCTATAAGTTAGAGATATTGTTCGCTAATTTGTTCGCCCCTAAAATACCTTATTTAATTTCTATGGAAATGTCTAACTGCTGTCTTCATTTTTTCTGATTGTTCCATTTTTTAGACCACATCTTCATAGACCTGATAATATTTTCTCTGTGCACCAAGGTGTTCTTACTCCAACTTTATCATTCATTTTACTGCATCCATTTGGTTCAGTTCATCGTTTAGCTAAAATAGCTGGAAAGTATTATCAACGATGGTTAAATAAACCAGATCAGTTAGCTGGACCAGATGGTATTAACATCACACTTATTGACTTTTTTGCAACCACTTACCCAACATATATACAGGATGTTGTATCAATAAACTATAAAACATGGCCAAACGATAAAACATCTAATTAAGATTTTTTTATCACCAATGTTTTATTATTTTTTGATTTTTAATTTTATTTATTTCTACTTTCATATCTCCCGAATTAACCGTTATGTTTTATAAATTCTACGATTTCAATTTGTACAATTCTTTTCATTTAAAGTATATGGTTACTTCTCTTTTTTTGCAATATTTAAAGAAAAAGAATGAAAAAGCTAAAGTAGAGCTGCTTTCTTAGTTAACATACAAATTATGGTGTTTTTTAGAAATGCTTACCTTCAGTATTCCTATTAAACTTGATCTAATGAGTATTAGACGATGCTATTCATTTCCCGTCTTGTTTTTGTGTGAATCAACCAATTTAGTTTAAGTATACAGATGTGATATATCTTATTTAGACCGAAATGATATTGTTTGTTTTATGAACATATGTATTAAGCCAACTAAAAATGTTTAATACATGCTTTGGATTTCTCAAATGTTAGATAACACTTCAAGATTACTACATTAATCAATAACAATATACATCACCCTCAAAAGTGGGCTGATAGCAAAAGACAATTTGACATAATTGTAGTGATGAGGATGATAATTGAAACCTTGGGTAGTACAGTGTTTAGTGGTCAAATATTAACGTGCCACAAACACTGTATTTGAACCGTTTGTTAGTATCCGTTATATATGACACATTATCGGAAAAAGTAATCAGTGATATGGAAATATTCATTTTTTTTCTTCGTTAAGTACTGAACACCATATATACAAAATATAAACCATCCTATTTCACTTATTGTTCAACTTATAATTATGCTATTAGGGGGTAATATGAACCTGTCTGGTTGCATTAAAACTGTAAAAGTTGTCATGTTCAGATTATCTATTCCTTTTTCAGAAGATTTGCAAAGAATTGGTATGTTAGTTTAATTTAACAGTGTAACATGTGGCTTTTATAGTTTGTTTAAGCATATCGCGTTATTATTAAATTGGAAAGTAAAATTTGTTTATTTGATATGACATTCCAAGTTAATTGAATATAGCCTATATAATAAGTTATTGATACACCTGATTCTCAATAATATGTTGTGTACACAACATGTTAGTTCCTACCTATCAAGCCTTTTCTAGTGACGTTGAAATACTATAGTATAGTGAAAGTACATATTCCTGACTTTTTTTCACTGATTATCTTCATATAAATTCTATATTATTTGCTTTAGTAGTAGTGTGGTTAGGCTATGATGATGTGTCTGTCTCACAACTCTAATGGTCTATAAACTGAATGAAACTACAATTAAACCTATTTTTCAGAAGTCTTATTATCATTTAATTGAAATTAAAATTATAAAGAAAATCCCTTATTAAACAAATTGAAAATCAGTAGGTATTGAAAACCCTTGTTTAATCAATTGGTTTCTGCACTGGGCCACCTTTTTATCCAACTGTTCTTTTGACCATGGTAACTCTTCATAGCCTGTGAAAGATGACCCGATAAAACATAGTTTTCCCTGAATAAAAATTAAACAGTCACCCGGTTTTGGTCGTCCATTATACCTTTTTAATAATAATGGGCATTCCTGAGAATTATTTTCATTATCATTTATATTTTGCGCTATGTCATAAATCAAGAATCGATAGTCTGCCATTCTCGTAGATATTGATGCACATGCTCCAGTACCTGCAATTTTGTATTTATCGTATAATCTTTCTGAGAAATGATCACTTGAATCCACAATATGAATCTTATCATCCACAGTACGACTACTTGTTGGTAATGTATTTTGTTGTTTTATATATAACTGACAAAGAAGATCATATATACCAATATGAATCCCATCTGGTAACCTAAATGTAAATAAATCATTATAATTACAAATAATAATATTTATAATATCATAGCAATTCAAAAAAAGATATAACGTTGAATATACTAACACGTTTCCTTTATCTTGTTGTGGTTTATCAAGGCAAAATTTGTTTTATTATTTCACTGATTCTTGTATGTGTTAAATTTCATTTTCATAAATGCAAATTTATTCATATTTACTCAAATAATATGTCGTCTGACAATAAATGTCATCGCTGTTAGCAAGTAAAACCAGTAATCTGTTCTATATTGAAATACCAAATCAATTATTTTCATCTTGTCTATTATTGTAACAAATTAAATATTTCAATAAATAAAATAACGAGCCAATTGAAGCTAGACCACCATGGGAACCCTGGAAGCACTGGATGGCCGTTTCGTCCTGGTGTGGGACTCCTCAGCAGTGCGCGTCCACGATCCCCCCAACGAGATTTGAACCCTGGACCTATCAGTCTCGCGCGCGAGCGCTTAACCACTAGACCACTGAGCCACCATCCAACAGTGTTAATGTCTAACTTCAACCAATCCACGAAGTTCCGCCACCGTGCACCATTGTCTTCAGTGAGTTGATATCTCAAAACAGACCTGGTTGAATTCCACTGGTCGCGGCTTCTCTTTAGAACTTCAGGAGTGTCTCTTGAAGTCAATCACTAGTGAGCAGATGATTATTATCAGAATGGGTTTTGTGGGAATTTTAGTAATTTCAATAGTCCAGTGCTTCCAGGTTTTCCATGGTGGTCTAGCTTCGACTGACTTATGATTTCAACCATTGAAATTACTAAAATCTCCACAAAATCCATTCTGATAATTAAATATTTCACAGAACAGAAAGAATATGTACTACCCATACACTAGAAGAGGAAGCCATGAATGTTTAAAGATTAACGGATACTCACTAGAGTGTATTGAGAAATATGGAAAATGTGAATATAAAAAATAGTATCATTTATCTTTCTGTTGTAAATTTTATTATTCTTTCTTTATAAAAATCACATGGATGTTTTTTAAATAAACAAGAGTTTAAACATTTCATTAAACTATTGTTCATATGTACTATAATGGGTAGAAGTAAATAGTCACTAGGTGTTTTGTTACAATGATTATGTTTTTTTACGTTCACCAATAATCCATCAACTTGTAAATAGTTCACAGTTCTACTAGTCAGGTTAAATATTTTACACATAATACTATAAATTTCTCGTAAAATATTCATCTTCAATTAATTGAATAGTAATTCTGTCTGATTAAGCTTCCACGTATTGATTCAATCAATTTGGTTATTTTAGTAATCTCAATATTTTATTTAATCAGATTGTTGACTACATCATTTACCCTTACCTTTAGACTGATGAATTATATAGACCTTCTCAGTCATTTTATCATTTGTGTATATGATCACGAGTATGTACGTTTGATAGTAAGATGTGTCTATATGCTTGCTTATATCTTTCGTAATTGTAAATGTTAGATCACGTTTTAGTTAGATTGAATTGAGGCATCGGTTCTCTCCAACTCTCATCTTAATGTGTATCTGAGTAAACGAATACATGAAATAAATTCGTGTTTGGCTTTTCATTACTGCTATCGCTCAAATGGCATTAGTCTAAGTAGAGCATACGAAAATAAACTAGTAATTTATGTTCATGGCTCATTCGTTCATTATGGAGTTAGAGCACCGGATTATAAGTTGGGCTTTAATAATAATGCAATTGAAGGCTAATTCAATCTGATAAATTTTCATTGATTGTTACAAATATACAACGTAAATACCGGATACAAATTGAATCAGAGTTTTATTGAAATACTTTTTTACGAAAATATGTCTTACCTGGAATCGCAAACGATTATTACTGCAGCCTGATATGATTTTATCAATTTATTCAAGAATATATCAAATTCTAAGTCAGTGATAGCCGGTGGCATATGACGACTGCATCGACAGCCTTTATTTGATATCGTACTTAAAGCTGACAAAAGCTGATTGTCAAATTTCGATGGATTAATCAAAATATCCATAAAGGCTTTTTCTAATGATTTATTTTCATCATCGTTTAGTTCAACACTGTGTTCGAATGTAGTCTCATCTAGTTGTCTAAGTTTGTTTAGATGTTTAAAATATTTGTATTGTTTTATTTCATTCAACCACGATCGAAGTAACAATGGGCATGCAACCGGAAAAATATCTGATGCATTTACAATTGAATAATGTTTTTTCATCATTTTTTGATTGTTTTCAGTACTTAATGATCTTGTAAAGTTTTCATTCATAAGTATTGCTTCAGACGATTTGTCATTTCTTACGATCAGTGGTCTATAAATGAATTGTATGCATCGTCATTATTCCCTTTAAGTGCGAAAAATTACAAATAATAACCATGTAATTTGCTCAAAAATGCCTTAACCATGATTTTGGTGTAAAATATTAATTTACAACTTTATTTCATCTACTCCGTTTTTAACTGTCAGATATTACCTCCAGTACTCACGTAATAAATATGGCTTATTGTCCTCCAGAAAGCCTGTACTTAATTATTTAATCGATCTTATTACTTTATAGCAGAATCCTAGAAATTCGACAAAAAAGAATCAATTGTCAAGTTACTTCTTATCACAGTGACCATTCATGCATATATAAAAAATTTTAAGAGCATAATTCTATGAAAAATGCTCGATAATGGCTAATTATGATAGTCTAATAGTAAATGCATTTGGTGTTAATGATAGTTATCCGGTTGCTAGAAACCAGGGTAAATGAATCAGGGTTCGGACCTGAGAATGGTCAATTAAAGGCACTTTAACTACCGAATAAACACTTAGCATAACTATGAAAAGAAATATTTTGTTTGCGATAACAGTGTAATAATTTTGTACTACTGAAAAGTAGAATTACCAAGGTTACCCCACTTCTACCTGAATTTTGTGCTAACGTTGTTCAGAAAAATGATGAAAGCTTCACTATGAAATCATCCAGCACAGATAATGAAACACTACAAAAATTATTTTGAGCTGAAAATTTTCACTACTCTATAGCTCATCTTAATGTCACTGTTCTTTCATATTTATGTTTTGCCAACGCGTAGCCTCAAACAATTGTTTTCACCAGTCCATGTATACACCATTTGATTTACAGTTAGTTCTGAAACGGCAGAAATGTTCAGTTCAATTGGTATCGACCAATTGATGCTAACGTTTTGGTAGTGATAAAGTAATCCAGTTGAAAAAATGTTAAGAAAGTACAAACAGAATCCCAAGCATTAACTATTACCTCTAATTAAAGGCCAGCTTAGTGATTAGTTAACCAACTGATAAAATGCAGTTGTCACCGTCTTTTAACAATAAATTCTGCCCTCTAATTTTTATAGTTTAAATGTATAAATGAAATGAGTAAAATACTTGAGAAGTATTTACAGTACAGAAAACCAGTAAGTTATATAACAAATTGCCACTGATTTCTTTTTTTACTTACAAACATATCATTTAAACACAAATTTATTTCAGTGACACTTACTCTTTATTCTTGTCATTTGTAAGGAGTGTATCCGGATATTCTTTTTTAAAATGTATTTTGTTGATATTCCTTGCTGAATAGAACTTCGATAATCTTGTCGATTTCTGTCCGAATGAGTTACGAATAAGTTTATCAGAGTGAATCAATAAACTATAATCACTTGCTCGGTTAGTAGATGATACAC